TTCCGACTTCCATCTTTAATACACTGACTTAATCATACATAGATCCAATTTAGAATATGTTCTGACAGTTAGGGTAAAAGATGTGATTTATAATGATGTGTTGCCATTAACTCTGGTCAAAGTTTTAAGACAAGTAACTTTTATGGTGGCACAAAACTTATCACAAATATATGTCAGAGTCTCACTCTGGCTGTATATTCACCAATGCAAGCAGATAGTTGGAATTTTAAAAATAAGTGACTGTTTTTATTATAAATTTCAGGTATGCACATTAGAAAACTTTTACTTGAACTCTTTAAAAAAGTATTAATTTCATCAATCCTAGAATACTGGTAGTATAAAAATCTTAAACTATAACACTAACACATCAAAGGCACAGTATTAACACACTTAAAATAATTAGTGTCCTCAAGACCTTAGGAGGTGCTTTATAAATAAAGTGTTATTAACCTAGATTAAAAATGGTCTAGAAGTAACATAAACGGGGAGGAAGTCCTTGGTTATTATAACCCACCAATTTCTAAGACAGTAAGATGTTATTTTCTATAAGAATAAGCACTAATAGTTCTACTTCTCATAAAATCTAAAATTCAGACATTAAGAATGAATGACTGATGAAAATATTTCTATACTCAGTTAAAAAGATATGGGAAATAAAAAGAGGTATGAAATTGATGAAAAATATACTTGGAATGCAGGTTATACTAAATTACTATTCATGGCTCAAAATTGAGTAGTCAAGTCTTTAACTTCAGATTAATTTCAACAATTTGACAAGTGATAATATGCTGTTTTCATATATATATATATATATATATATATATATATATATATACTGTTAATATTATCAATGTTTGTCAAAAGAAGGCACCAAAATGAATTCTGAACCATAGTTATAGAAATTAGTCACAAGAATTGAAAAAAAATCCCTGGAGAAAAGGAGTCCACTTAACAGTTACAAATATAAGGGAGCAGATATAAGGAAACTTTAGGAATTTCATTACTTATGAAGATAATTTCCTCTGCGTTCAAACTGCACAAATGAAGTTGTTTTCTTTTTGCTACAGAAAATAAACTGTAAGCAGCAGTGTGTTTTTAGGCATCGATAAGTGTTTACGTCTGGTTCTAGTATAGTCAGGTTAGTGCAGAAATACTTTAGAAGTGCAGAAGTCAACTCTTCCGTGAAGTTTTCAGTATTTCTTATTTCAAATGTCCTGGTTAATTCAACTGTTAGAGCTAACTTATTCTTACTTCCAGCATACAACATCATTGTCCAGGCTTCCATCCAACAGGACTGGGGAAAACAGAGCATAGAAGACATAAAATGCCCATTGTCACTTGGATATTTATAGCTATGCACAATCCAGTGGGGTTGTCATTCAGGTTGCTCATCTTTAAATTTATCTAGTGAAGTGCCCTCAAGGTCCTCATCCAGTACCAGAGGGCATTTATCTCTATCAATCTTCTTTATAATGGCAGCATTGTTCATTTCTTTGAGAAAAGGAAACTTTCTCAGTTTTTCCACTGAATCTTCAATGACACCAAAAACCACCAAAGATTCAGTCACTGTCCTCAGCTGGAGCTCTCACCATTCTTATCCCTTTCCGATCTCCAGGAAGGACTTGTCCTTCATTAAAAGGATGTGTGCTTTCCTGTTCTAAACTCACATATAGGCTCTTGCTGGAGGGACTGAGCCTGATGTGTCTTTTGAGATGCCACACACTCAGGCAGAAGATTTGCTCATTTGGCCTTTTGTGACACTTGGCCCTTGTGGGTATCCTGACAGGAGCATAAACACATTATATAACCAGGGCGTGCTCTCTCCGCCTCATAAATTTGTGAGCTCCCAGAGGCAGAAGTATAAGGTGATTCATATGAAACATTTAAAGACTCTTAATAGATTAACAGAATTAAAATCTTTACGCCTAGAACCTGAAAGTCTGCGTTTTTGTCAAGCTATTTGGGTGATTATTATGAAGTGAACTTTGGAGGATGACTCCCTTGACACCTGAGCAGGTATTAGCAGCATGAAAAGACATGTTCCCAGAAAGGCACTCCTGTGTCCCCTTTCCTGGGGAGTCGCATCACTTTTGTAGACAAGAAGGACAGGTACAAGGACTACAGAGAGGAATACCCACCAGTCTCTCTAACTTGATAGTCTCTTCTGTCTTATTCCAGACGCTATAAGGTAATACAGAATATGATGCAATTTTTATCAAATTAATTATCATTTGATAGATAATTCATGTGACATGACACAGAATCTTAAAAATACAAAAAATCAGTGAAAAGTTAGTCTCTTTCCTACTCCTGTCCCTCAGTTCTTTGATCCCTACCACAGGGGTAACTATTTTTGTGCATTTTAATTTTTAGTTTAAAATTTTTTAAACAGATTCATCACTTACACTGCTATAACTGTAAAAACAAAAAAAATTTTTGAGACAAAACCTCCCTATATTGTTCAGACTAATCTCGAATTCAGTTCTCCTACCTTGGCCTCCTAAATTATAGAATTATGGGTGTGCACTGCCATGCTTAACTTTTTGTAGATTTTTAACAAACTATTTGTAAGTTCAGCTTGTATAGAATGATATCATGCTTTTAAAAATATAACTTTGATATATCTCTGTTTTTACATAAGTTTGCAAAAATAGTGCTATCATTTTTTATAACTAGATGTTTACTCCAAAGCCTCACGGATTCATAGGTGTGGCTTTGAGGAAGTGACTGGATCATAGGGGTGTGGTAGGCAGTGGTTTAACCCTCTGATGGGTTTATAGCCTGATGTGAAGGTAGGAGGTGGAGGCTGGTCTGAGGGGTGTGTCCCTGGTGGCGTGGCCTCGAAGGGCTCATCTCCCTTCAGCTCTCTGACTCTGCTTTCTGACCCCTGGGCTGTGAGCAGCTCTCTGCTGTGCCCGTTTGCCATGCCTTCTTTGAAGCCACCCAACTTGGACTGAAATGCGAGCCACAATAAATCTCTTCTCTGTTAGTGTTCTGTGTCAAGTGTTTTGTGCCAGTGATGAGAAAAGTGACGAAGACAAGTACAAAAGTACACAACTAGAAAGCCGATGTTGGTACTGTGAGCACACGCTTCTGTGCTGTTTTATCCCATGTAGATTCATGCAGTGAAGAAACCATTCCTGTGTGGACTACTCATTACACCATTTACCTGTTCTAGGGACATGGGGGGACCTTACTTTATTTTACATGCCTTTATCCATTTTCATATATAATTCCTTTAAATATCTCTTACACATACTTTGAGAAGCACATTGGGCAATGTTCTGTTTTTTGTTTGTTTGCTTGCTTTGTTTTGTTTTGGTAATGGGGATTGAACTCATGACCTCGCACTTGCCAGGCAGGCACTTATGCCGCTGAGCTAAATGCTCTGCCAGATGTTCTGTTTTTCTGCTCCATCTGTCAATCATGATTTACCAACCTCAGAAGGGCGAAGGAACTCTTCTTCTATTTACTCCTACTTTTACTATTTTTGTTGCTTGTTCTTTCTCCCAGATTTTCACATCTTCATTTAGAACATTTCTTTATCTTTTCCTTTATGACAAATCTGCTGGCCAGCTGCGCATGGTAATGCACATGTTGCACCCCATCACTCTGGAGGCAGGAGGACTGCTTTGTGTTCAAGGCCAGCCTCAGCTACATGGTGAGTTCAAGGCCAGGCCAAGGCCAAGTTCAAGGCTACCTGGTGATGTAGAAAGGCCCCGTTTCACCCTCTTTCTCCAGTAAGCCTGCTGGCAACAAATCTCATATTTCTTGTTCAATAATGTCTTGATTCTTCCACATTGCTGAAAGATATTTTTGTTGGATGTAAGATGGGATGGGCCTGTTTACTTTAACACTTGAAAAATATTGCTGTTTCCTATGGCTTTGTGATTTCTGGTGAGAATTCTCACTGGGATTGTTTCATTGCTTTCTTGTTATTTTCAAGAATTTTTAGTCTTTGATGTTGAGAAGATTGATTGTGATACTCTCGGGCAAGGTTTTTGCTTTCTTCTTTTGGGTTTCCTTAAGTTCCTTAAATCTCTAGGTTTATGTCTCTTGCCAATTTTGAATAAATTTCAGCTTTATTCTTAAGATTTTTGTTCAGCCCTATGTTTTTGTCTCATCATTTGAGACTCCAGTGATGTGAATATTAAATCTTTTGTTATAATCTTAACAATCTCCGAGGTTCTGTCATTACTGCTCAGTCTATTTTCTCTTTATTGTTCAGATTGGATATATTTATTGTTCTATCTTCAAGTTCACTGATTTTTCTCTGCTTCTTCATTCTTCTGTTGAGGTCACCTATGATTTTAAAATTTTGAAAATACTAAGGCAAGAGAAAACCTGTGGAATTTACATCTGTGTTTTTCCTTGGGTTCCAAGACCTCTAGCCAGTCTTCACTTTTCTCTCTGCTTTTCAGAATCTCCTTGTTTCTTGCATAGGGAATGTCCAGGGCTTTCCGTTGCCTGGGCTAGAAGAGAGAAACAGTGCCCAGTACATCTGCTCCAGCTCTCCTCAGAATCAGAGCCTGGGAAGACTTTCTTTTTTTGTCTTTTTCCTTTTTATCGGTACCGGGTATTGAACCCACGACTGCCTGCTTGCAAGGCAGGCGCTTATGCTGTGAGCTAAATCCCCAGCCCCTTGGGAAGACTTTCTATGATGAAAAAATAGGCTTTGAACAGTGGTAGGATCATAGCCCATGAGATTTTTTTCAAGGTATGATTATTGCTAATTGATACAAAAATAACCATTTACCTTCCTTTTTGTCCTTTTTCATTTTCCCTGCTCTCCTTAGAGCTGCATGTCTCAGATGCCCACATGTGCCCCAGTGCCCACCTGCCAAAGGCACAGTAAGCATGGCAGCTAGGTGCACAAGGTAGGCATAGAGACCAATGTGAGACTGAGAAGTTTCAATTTTGCCCTTGGAATACAATTTTCTTTAATCTATATAATGATGGTAATTAAGCAATTTGCTCAAGACATAGTAAATGGAGGGAGTAGAGAGCAAAGTAGTTCCTGGAAGCTGAGTCAGGGAGAGCCCCAGAGCTCAGAGCTGCAAGGAGAACATGTGGACACAGGAGTTAGCTTGGTGGCTCACCCCAGGGTCCCTGCCTTCAGGCACCAGAACCAGCAGGGAAGGTTCCCCTGGCACTAGCTGAGTATGAAGGCTTACTGTGTTTGTGACCTTGTAGGGTTGGGCAAAAATGTACTGAGGATCTCCATCCTCCAGAAGCACCAGGGCACTCTGTGGGCTCCTTTCTTTTCCCCTTTGATTCCCACAAGACGAGACCTTACATGCCCCATCAGTCTCTAGGGAGAGAGGGAAAGAGAGAGAGAGAGAGTGCTCTCACTCAGGTGGCTGGGCATTCCTTGGCCTCAGAGGCAGGGCAAAGTGTGCTTAGCTGTCTCACCTGTCTCTGAGGAGCCTCCCTGGCACACCCCACACACCTGACGCTGCTCTGGAAGAAGCCATGCAACTTGCTGCCACTGCTTTCCTGGCTAGAGAACATCTGGCTCGGCAGCAGGCAGCCAGTATAGGACAGCCACTCCTCCACTGGCGGGGCAGCCAGGCACTCAGCTGTGGAGGACCCATGGGCAGAGATGCTTAGGAGAAACCTCCCCCAAGTCCTCTGCCTCGGGCTGATGCTGGTCCTCGCTGTCAACCTCCTCCTGTTGTTTCACACCAAGGAGACCGTACAGAAGTTGATTCAGCGTGGTCTTCATGAGGAGCCCCATCGGCCTCCACCTGAGAGGGATGAGATCGTGATGGACAGGCTGGCCCACCTGGAGGTGGTTATGCAACAACTGAGTGAGTACAGCACATTGTGCTGGAGCAGGGTGTGCACCTGTGGGTAGGGGGTTGGGGAGAGTGGGTGAGGCACCAGCTTCCCCTCGCCCAGCCGCTCACATAAGCGTCACCTTTGTGTTTTTGATGAGACGTGGGGACTGATAATTAGGTGGGTGGGAATAAAAGTGGGAGCACACAGTGTCAATAAGGGAGCAGTGGAACAGAAATAGTTATGCAGGAGTTTGTGCACATGCATGCGTGCACACACACACCCACACACACACACACCAGGAATGTCTGGGCACAGCCCTGTCCTTGAACTTATGTGTGGCAGGAGTGCACATACGAGGTAGCAAAGTCGGTGACCAAAGCCATGATCTGGTAGGGACTCTGGTAGGACCTCACAAGGTTAGAAAATGCATGCAGAAAGCAATTGTGTGTCCTACTTAAAACCTCTTCATTTAAAATTCAGAGAAAGAATCCTACCCATGCTGGGTTTGCTGATGATTCTGGCTGTCTGAGGAAGACTGACTGCTCTGGCCTGTGTATGCCTCAGTATCAGACTTCAGTGAGGGTAGTGGCAATTTTCCCTGCTCCCCAAGTGGCAGGGTTCAAGTACTTGTGCACTTAAGGCACTGCTGAATGTGTGAGCAGGAGCTTGACCTCTAGGATGAGTGTGTGCCGGGAAAAGAAAAGGGAAAATTCGAGAGTCCCAGGGCAGAGAATGAATGAATTCATGTGATGACAAGGAGAGAGGGAAAATGAGATGGGGAGCAGGAAAGAGGAGAGAGGAGGAGGCATCAAACACCCACAATTTCCTCTGCCCCCTTCATGGGACTCATTATATTTTGCTGTGATACAATTTTCTGGAAAGCAAGCAGGCAACCTTGCTTTTTGTCCTGTTCACCACTCATTTCTGTTTACTCATAGAAATTAAATAGATGAAAAAGTGAATGTAGGAAGGAAAAAGAAATGAACAGGCAGACAGGGAGGAAGGGAAGAGGGTGAGAGAATGAATGAAAGGAGGTAAGAGAATGGATGGAACAGAGGAGAAATGGCTGGCTCCAGAAGTCCTGGAACCCCTGATGGGTGAAGCAGCACTCAGGCGAGTGTGCCAGGCAGCTTTTCCAGGACTGTGACTCAGGGGGTCATCCCAGCACTCTACTATCCCTTAGCAGAGCATCCAGAAGGCACCTGGACTCTTCCGCCCAACCCTTAGCTCATCAGTCTCCTCGAAATAAAATGGTAGGCATCCTTGTCTTCAGTTGGGACCCAGTGTGGGACCATCTGGTCTCCTTCCCCTTTCTTCTTACAGTGGCCATTTCTTTCTAGTCTTCTTATCTTGGTGTACCCTCACTTCATCACTCTAAAATGATGCTGTGCCAGAGACTCACCACCACCTGGGATGACTCCAAAGTGTCTCTGGGCTATCTTTCCAGATCACAACTGTCCTTCCTTCCCACGTCCCTCCCTGTGATTGAAAGCCTTGTTGAATTACTTGTCATCCTTTGTTCCAGGAAGACCAAAGAAAGGCACAAGTCAATAAGGATGTCTGAGAAAATCAAATAGATTACACTTGACACAGTGATGACTGCATTCAATGCGTAGTGACAATTACTTCCCTATTGACAGAAGTAACAACGGATCTAAACTCTGTGTGAACCTCCCTTGGGGCTCTTGGAAGTCTCCCCAGAGTAATGTCACTGGGTGTGACCTTTAGAAATTGTCAGTATAAGTCATGGGAGTGACCTAGTAGCCCTGGATTCATTTTGCTAGACTAACTGCACTGCCTTAGATTGGCTCTAGCATGACTGGGTCCTAGCCAGTTCCCATGGGTGAGTGAAAGGGAAAATTTGACACCTTTCCTCCAAAAATAGGAGTGCAGAGGAATTTAAAGGTGAGGAGAACCCAGTACCATCTGAGATCCCCATGTGCTTAGCTCCAAAAAGGATGAGACTAATATTCTTCCATCTAGAACACTAAATTTTACTCTCATTCATTTTTCCCATCTGAACAAATGTACAGGGTGTTCATGTGAACTTTCTTTGATAGACCTATTGTCTCATTTTCTTCCCATGTTTTCTTTGACCATCTTTTTTCTTCAGCACTTTAGTTGATTCTCCTCCTTTTTCTCTTTTTGGGCCAATGTTTGTCATCTCTAAGCATAACTCCCTCTCAGTCGCATGACTTCTTTGCTCCTTTTGGGGTACCACATATGGACTTGAAACACACTCCAGCCATGTGCTGTGGCATGGGACTGCACCCAGTCAGAGAAGTTTGTCACATGGGGCCATCTTCCTACCAGGCTGGTGATCTTGGGTTACAGTCATTCAGAGAAATGTGTACAGAGATGCTGGATGGGCTGAGGGTGGACCTCAGACTGGTTGGGATGTAATGGAAGGTTTAGAGGATGTTGCATAACTTTCCCAAAGAGACAAAAAAAGAAACATCTGTCTTTGAACTGAGAGGGGACCCACAGACCAAAAAACCACTTGGACAAGACCAGCTTGGCCAGTAAATGAATTTATTAGGTGTTACTTCCACATCAGTGCATGATTCAGGGGCTGCAGCTCTACCAAAATTTCCAATCCTGCTCCGCTAGACTAGTGGCCACTGAAAGCACTGATTAAAACAACAAAAGCAGGACTCCAAAATGCAAGACTCTTAGGGAAACTTGTAGGTGTACTCTGTCCCATTCCATCCAATCAGGAAACTCTGGTCTTCTCCGTGAATACTGTCTAGGCGTGGTGACGCATGACCTCATCCTATACACACGACCTTGGTCTGGCACACAATCTCAGTGCCTGTCTAGTGGGAGGGAGCTTGGGCCCCAATGAACAACTTGATGGGGTGGGAGGCACACCTCAAAATAAAGATGCCTTCATTAGGGTTTGAAGAAAGATTCTCATCATAGGAGACTGCTCACGAAAATCAAATGTATCTTATGGCAGAGAGCCTTGATTGCCATATGACTAACAGTCATAATCACTAAGCACTGAATTGGTTTCTCTCTCTCTCTCTCTCTCTCTCTTTGCTGAGTTTATTGATTGATCTTGAGGAGAGTTCTTGGTATATATGTTAAGAAGATGCAGTGTAACTCTTACAGAGTTGTTGTAAAGTTTAGGTAAATAATGGATAGGAAAGAGCTTCAGAATTTGTAAGCATCATTACAATTGGTATTTTGGGCCCTAGCCTCTCCTGGGCCTGTCACTATCTAGCCCTCTTTTGGGTTACAATGGTGTCTCTAATGTGACTGTTAGATGTATCTGAAACAATGCAAAGTCTTAAAAGTTAAAGATTCTGATGAATTTAACACATGAGAGGCAATGCCATGCGTGGATGATGGTGCTGCTGCTTAGATTAGATTTTTGTTAGCCACTATTAGTGTATTTTATTTCTCAAAATTTTACTTACCAAAATTACTCCTTGGCTGGGAATATAGCTCAGCGGCATAAGCGCCTGCCTTGCAAGGGTGTGGTCCTGAGTTCGATCCCCAGTACCAAAAGAAAAAAAATTACTCCTTGATTTCATTAAAAATGTAGATTCTGGCAACTTCTCTTGCCCATGTTCCCACTGGACCCAAGATTCTAATTTAAAAGATGTCAAAATGAACCTTACTACCTACATTTTTAAATAATCACAACTGATGATTCTGATAAAAATAGTTTGTAGGTCTCATTCTGGAAAAACATTATCTTATTATCAATTTAGTTCTCATACCTCCTAGTCATCTCTTAGGGCAGCCACAAAGAGGTGGATGTGTTTTGATGGAGCTGAAGGAAGGGAGGCATCTATTATGTGCTTTACCAAGATGATGTTACACGGTTCTCATAAGTTCCTCTGACATCATGTCCTCTGGGACAAAATGTATCCATTTTAAAATTTGGAAGACATTTTGTCACTTTTCCATTATGGTAACAAATACTCAAAAGAATTACCTTATGGAAAGACAGGATAGGCTTGGCTCACAGTTTTGGTAGTTTCAATCTGTGGTGAGTTTGTCCCATTGATTTTGGGCCTGTGGTAAGGCAACGTATCATGGCAGGAGCACATAGCTGACTGCATGGTGGACGGAGACAAAGATACACCCCAATGACCAAACTTCTTTTCCTAAGAGTCCAGTTAGAGCTTCTATCACCTCCCAATAGCATCACGGGCTGGTGACCAAACTTCTGACTTGTGGTCCTGCAGGGAAATTTAAGATCCAAACTATTTCAGGAAAACTATCACAAGGAAATTAGGACGGAAAGTACTGCTCAGATAACTTAGGATTGGTTGAATTTTTCTTTGCCCTCTCCCTCCCCTCATCTTCTTTTGCAGAAGAAGATATGAAGTTGGCTGTGAAGCAACAAGCGAATGTGCAGGACACACTAAAGAGGGTGAAAGATGAAGTTCACCCTGCCCCAAAGACAGTGCCACACAACGTGGTGAAGACAAAGAAGCCCCAGGCCCCAAAGAAACTCTTCCCAGACTCTGCACTCTTCCAGAGGTGGGGAGAGGACCTTCCTGAGGCTGAGCAAAGAAAGGCCCAGGACCTGTTCCACAGGTTTGGCTATAACGTGTACCTCAGCAACCAGCTGCCCCTCGACCGCAGCCTCCCCGACACGCGGGATTCCAGGTGAGATGGGCCACACTGGGCTTCCACGGACCTCAGTTTGTTCTGAGGATGAGCTTGGAGAGCTGTAAAAGTCAAAGGTTGGGGAGTCCTGGGTGTCTGAGTTGTTAGGGAAGAGGATGAGCAGGTTCTTGTTTTTAATCCATTTCATAAAGGCAGCTCAGAGAACATAGCTGACTCATCCACATGCATGTAACCCTCAGAGAGGAGCTGAGATGCAGAGAGAGGGAGAGGGAGAGAGAAAGAGAAAGAGAGATTGATTGAGAGAACATTAAATCAACTCATTATAGATTAGAATTCCTGATAAAGCACATCTCTGAAAGCCCAGAGCTTCACCATTCCTAATAGTGAAATATTAAAAGCTTTCCCTTGATAATGAAGAATAAGACAAGAATATCATTTACCACTTCTTCTATTCAACATCATACTGGAGGATCCAGCCAGGCAACTAGGGAAGAATACAAAATAAAAGACACCATATTTTTGCACATTTCATAACCTTATACAGGGAAAATCCTATAAAAATCTACTGAAATAGAATGGATAAAGGACTAACACTACACATACAGTAGGATATTTAAAAAGTACAACTTGGCAGTTTCTATTTTGATTATTTAACTCATTCATATTTAATGCTTTTGGTGAATTTATACCTGCATTCTGCTTTTATTTTCTAGAGTTTCGTCTCTTTTCCTCATTTCTCCTTTATTGCTTGTCTGATTTTCATTAAGTGAATATTTTCTAATACAATAGTATAAGTATCTTAATTACTTCTGTATATTAATTATTTCTCTAGTAATTTCTCTGGAGCTTATAACATCAGATACATTTTAACTTACCCAATTCTACTTAATTTACTGAAGAATAGAAAAGTTCTTCAAAATACCTCTAGTCACTATTTATTTTTCTGTTAATTGTCACACACTTTACATATATGTATGATATAAACCAAAAATATATTGGTATAATTATATAATTTTGTATCTGTTAAAGGAGAAGAGAAAAATGGAGAGAAAATAAAAATACAAAGTCTATTGTATTTGCCTTATCTGACTCTCTAAATTTGTTCCTTTTTAATTCAATTTGCTGTTTCGTTTCCTTACACTGACACAGCTTCTCTCCCATTTACTTACCTTGTGCTATTGTTGTCAAATTTATTACATTACTCTTAAGTTACCGACCCAATGATATAGTTACATATGCACATTGTTTTTGTACATTGACTTTTAAATCAGTTTGTGTTTTATAATCACATAATTACTTTTGTTCCTCTCTGTGTCTGTGTCTGTGTCTGTGTCTGTGTCTGTGTCTTTCTTTCCTTCTTTCTCTTTGCATTTAAACTACTTTCTGGGGTCACTTGCTTTTGATCTAAAGAACTTGGCATTTCTCATAAGGTGGATATGCCAGCAATATATTATATCAAAATTTGTTTATTTGCCATTGATTTTATTTTGCCTTCATACTTGAAAGATACAAGATATCAAAGATGCTTGGTGGATGATATTTTTTCTTTTGGTATTTAAAATATACAATACCACTAACTTCTGGCTTATATTATTTTATGAGATTCCAACTATTAATCTTACTGGGCTTCTCTGGTATGTGACAAGTTGTTTTTCTTTTGTTTCTTTCAAGAATTTGTTTTAAACTTTGATTTTCAGTATTAGGATTATAATGTGTTGGGGTGTGTGTCTCTGCATTTATTCTACTTGTTATTCATGAAGTTTTTTGGATGTGTTTCAGTAGTTTTTGAGTGTCAGTAGTTCTTTTAGGAGTTATGAAACCATACATGGAAGTCCAGAACAATTATGGCAAGAAAATATAAACTGACTTCTTTTTATGTGCATATACACCACAACCAAAGAATCTTCATTCAATATCTGACCATGAGTCCATGTCCCATATGGCAGTGGTCAATTCAAGATCTGACTGAGAATGAATTGGCTCTCTCCATCATGTCACTCTAAAAGGGTGACTGTCGGGCACCCTGATTCTGTGCACCAGGAGACAGTGATAGGTCTTAGATGGAAAGGTGGAAAGTCACTGCCCCACTAACACCCCCTCACTTCAAGATGGGCCCTCATGGGGATAGATAACCTTATCTGGATGCTCTACCCTAAAGGTATTTAGATAAACCTTTCAGTCTGATTGGATGTACTTGGATGATAAAAAACTTTCATGTTTTGTGACATTTCTGATTGACTGGTAGTGATTACATGGGGTATCAATACAGTGAAAAGACTTGAGTCCGTATGGTCTAAGGCAGTGATGGTGAACTTATGGCACAGACATGTCTGTTATTACTGAAAACTCTCAAGATTGAGTTGAGGAGAGTTATGAACTGATCTGCAATAACTACCCTCACAATGTGACTTTCTATCGGGGGTAGTGTAGATATCTGTCTGTCTGTCTATCTATCTATGCAGTGCTGGAATTGAACCCAGGGCTTTCATACTGAACTACTTACCCAGGCCCTTTTAAAACTTCTTTAAAGTTTAATACCAACACATAATTAAATTTTGAGACAAGATCTCACAAAGTCACTAAAGTGCCCAGGCTGGCATTGAATATGTGATCCTCCTACCTCAGCTTCCCAGGATGTTGGAACTCCCAGTGTGTGCCACCATGCCTAGGTAATAGTTTTTTTAAGTATCTCCTGCTGCTGTCTATTGTGGTAGCCGCTAGTTATGTATGGTTATTTAAATGTAGATAATTAATATAAATTAAATTAAAACTCATTTTTGGTTACATCAACCACATACAAATGCCTACCACCCCCCTGTGACTATCATAATGTGAAGCACAGATAGGGATGGTTGTTGTCACTACAGAAGAGTCCACTAGACAAGGCTGATCTATGTCTTCTGGCCAGTTGCTAGGGAAGCACAGAGGGAGAGTTCATGCTCTTGGAACACTAGGAGCCATATTTTTGCCTCTCTTGACACAAGGTGGGGACGTGTGATGGTTAATTTTCAGCTTGATTGGCTTCAGGCACACCTAGATTAGTAAAGCACACTTCTGGGTGTGTATGGTTTGGTAATGGGTCCTGACCTTGGAGAGTACCTCTGACCCTTTTTTCTCTGACTCTTTTCTTTCACACTCTGCTTTCTAGCTGGCATGAGTTGAGCAGCTTTCTACTCCAGGCCCTTCCACCATGAAGCCAGCAGGCCAGGGACCAAAACTTATGAAATCATGAGCCAAAACAAATATTTCCTTCCTCAAACTGTGTATGTCAAATATTTTGTTCATCGTGACGGGAGGCCGACAAAATAGGTATTGGAGTTAGGATGTGGGTAAGAGAAGTATTGTGAAAACATTTAGGATATAGCAAAAAACAGTACTCACAGGACAATATGAAGTGTAGTGGAACAAAGAATCTGAAGTGGCTGATACAGTTCTAGAGATTAGAGGATAGAGAAGTCCAGCAGAATGTTAGTAAGTCTTTAATTCAACACAATCATGTACACTTCCTGTCAAGTACATACATATTATTATATAACCATTCTGTACCAACACTAAGAACTACTCCTGAGCTTTAAGGAATTTAAGGTTCTCCTCTATCAGGCTTCCTCTATCTCTAAATTTTGATGATGCTCAGGCTGTAGCACACGGTTCCTTCCTGTTTTTTGTGTTGTTGATTTCATTCGCTTACTTACATTGGGAATAATTCCAAGTCCACAATTCCAATCTAGACTTTCTCAGAACCATGTATCCAATGACCTGCTCTTAAGCCTCTATTTTGTGACTCCCTGGCATCTCACACTCAATGTGGCTGGGTCCACTTATTTTCTTCTCCAAAGCAGGCTTAGGGGAGCTATTCCTATCTTCCTACCTGTGTCATGGTGCCCACATGTGCTATTCACCTGGGCTAGTGTTCCATCACTGTAACAGACACCCGAGACAAGCAGTTCATATAGGGAAAAGGTTTATTTTGGCTCATAGTTTTGCAGTCCCTGGTCCATGATTGAGCAGCTGTGTTGCTTTTGAGCTTCTGGAAGCAGCTCATGGAGGGAGTCACAGGCTGGGTCAAAAATATTCACTCCATAGCTGAGAATAGAATGAGAGAAGGAGGAAGGGGCTGTGGTCCTACTGTCCTCTTTAGAGCACTTCCCGGTGACCACAAGGCCCCCAGTAGGCTCCCACCTAGGGACAAGCCTTTTACATGTGGGCTGAGGGGGAGGAACCTTTCCAAACTGGAACATTTTCATCTGCTGTGCTCATGGAAGTCAGAATGGTATTTTAAAATGTTAATATAATCAAACTGCTTCTTTGCTTAAATTCCAACAATCCTTTCAGGATAAAGTCCAGTCTTGTTGGTCTTGTTACACAGTCCCTGCTGGTCTGTGTAGCGCCACCTGTTGACATCACTGTGAAACAGCCCAGTCCTTCAAAAAATGCATGTCCTTGTATGTTCATCTGTGCTGGGCTTGGCCCCAAATGGGCTGAAATCTGAGGTCTGCAACTGAATATCCCTAGATGCCTATGATGTGAAGAGGGGCATGAAGAGGGCTTTCAGGGAACAGGAGCAGATATTACCAGGGATGACAACAGCCTGACCCTGGTCAGAGGAGGTGCTGCTGTCCCCTAGAACATTGGTTGTAGTGGGTCAAATACTGGCTTTGCTAGAGAGACAAGATATCTAGATTACAAAGAAAGCATTGGAAACTACTTTAAATTTTTGAAAACTATGTGGATTGAAGCTTTTAAAATGACATTAAGTGCATCATCTTTTCTCCTAACAAAACAACTAGTTGGAGAAAATTTTAAAAGTATCATTTACTACTTTCAGATATTGTCTTGAGGGCACACAGCAAGCACAGAAACATTCTGTCTGGGAAATCTATTAAGTTGCAACAAGACCAGCAAGAATCTGTGGCACATGAGCCATGATTCCTTCCTTCTACTTCACCCCAAGTCCTGTCTGGTGGGTATAACTCAAGGTTCTTTGCTCTGGGTGGGTGTGGCCACCCCCAAAGAAAGGGAGCTCCTTGTCTCTCCAGCCCTTGGTGTAGGGCTATGACTTCAACCTGGAGAGAGCAGGCCAACCACATGTCACATCTTTCCTATCCTTAAGATCAGAAGTCCTACTCCTCCTCATGGAAGTGGCTGAGACTGTTGTGATTTCCATCCTTTGCCTCTTCCTTACTTCCAGAGTGGAATTCAACTCCAGCTGTGTCAGGCTGAGTACAGCAGGCTCCACTTGCACCTTCTCCCAGGCCTGAGATCTTCTCCTGCCACCTCTTCTCTCCCCAGTGTCCGCCTGCATCACAGGTTGTCACTGCAGAATTGGCTACAGTCCCTACTCTCATCTCCTGTGCAGTGCTGTGCAGGTTCTGTACAGAAGAAAAGGGGAGATGACAGCCTCCCTGGCTCTGTGCAACGGACTGACCTATTTGAATAGAACATGGAGGATTCCATGTCTAGGGACATCTGAAACAATGGAATGCTTGGTTGGGGATACTCATAGCTCCATGAGCGGTAACCAGTAAAACAGCAGATCATCCAGAAGAGTATCAGGCAGAACCACCAAAAGACAGATAAGAAGAGGCTTATGGGCTATACCCAGCCCTAGGTGGTCTAGAAGGCAGTGCAAAAGCACCAGGCTGAACCCACCCAGAATCAGCAGAATAGTTTAAGCACCATTTGTCAACCTGCACACAGATAACTGAAGCCCTAGTGTTACGATTTTTGAATGCTAGATGTTTAGACCAAGGGGCCACTCCTAAGACTCCAGGCTTTAAAATAACATAAAAATCATTATTTCTTCAAAATATATTTTTAAAACTTTATACTCCACTTCCCATTTTCCCTTTTGGACTCTAGTTGCAATCATATGTTGTTTAATGCTTGAGTAATTTCTGAAGATTTCACTGTCAAGGGTTTCTGTCGTGGTGGGGATGTCACAGAGTGCACTTACATAGCCCAAGACAGCTATGATGTCACCGAGCAATATAATATTGGGGACTGCAGCTGAAAGTGTGATCTGTTTTTGACTGAAATGTTTGGTTTGGGGCTCATGACTTTGTATAAGAGAAATAAAAATATACATCAGTATAAGATCTTGTTCAAGAACATTTATCCCAGTGATATTCATAGTTACCCCAAATGGGAAACAACTTAAATGGACACCCATTGGTAAATGGAGAACTATCACTCTACAATGGGATATTATTTGACAGTGCAGAGGAATGAAGTATGGATACCTTCTACAACAATGAATGAACCTTGAAAACATGCTGAGTGGAGCCAATAATTAAAGAACATGTTTTATATTTTTATTTATACAAAAAATCTAGAATAGGTAATTTTATAGAAACAGAAATTAGATTAGTGGGTGCCTGGCTGTGAGGACAGAAGTGAAACAGATTGAGGGGAGAGGGAGAATGGCTGGTAATACAGTATTTCTTTTTGTGGATGAAAGAATTCTAAAATTAGTACTAATGGTGACTCTGTCATGATTATCAATCTATGGCAACTATATCGCTTTAAATGGATAGATATTGTTGTTTGTAAATTATAGCTCAATAGTTATATTTAAAATTAGTTGTTTCATGTGTACAGAGTTACAGTGGTACAACAGGAGTAAATTTTAGACATATGTTGCACAGCACAGTAGTTCTTGACAAATAGCTCATAAACTTACATATATATTTGTTAGCATAGGTCTTATATTGAGGTTTTAACAGAAACATTCATTCACACAGAGAGCATAGGAAGATAAGGAAACTTTTGGAGTTAATGGATATGTTTATTGCCGTGATTTGGCAATTGTATCATAGACATAAGCATATGTCCAAGCCTTCTAATTGTATACATTAACTATGTACAGTTTAAATTGAATGAATCATACCTCAATAAACCTGTAAAGCTAAGAGAAAACAGTAGCCTAGCAGATGGCAAGCATTCCATAAATACAGGCTATACTTTTAAAAAGCGTGTCAACCACAGTTCTGTGGACAGTTTGCTTCTCTGTGTGGCGGGGCGGGGTGGAGGTTGTCAGAGATGATTAAAGATCTGACAGCATGGCAGGGATGGGTGGCAATGGCAGGATGAAGGCAGGGGAAAGGAAGCTGATTTGGGGGTGGGAGAGGAATGAGGATGCTTTTGGGATATGATGAGCATCCTAGCAGTAATACCTATTGAACATTAATTTTTAAAAAGCACGTTATCAGTGTGGCAGAATAATTTTAGGTAAATAAACATGCAATTTCCTTGGTACTGGGATGAACAACTGAGAGATTCCCTCCATAATGAGTTACAGGGTTTGACATGTCAACTGATAATATTACGCACAGTGAAGAGGAGGCTGTATAGCAATGTTTAATCAAAAAATAATACAGTTACAAAATTGGTCTCTTACAGGTGTCTTCAGAAGACATACCCTTCCCAGCTCCCTTCTCTCAGTGTGATCCTCATATTCATGGATGAAGCTCTGTCTGTTATACAGCGGGCCATCACCAGCATCATTAACCGGACCCCTCTTTGGTTGTTGAAGGAAATCATTCTGGTGGATGATTTTAGCTCAAATGGTGAGCAACTTGAGCCAAGAAGTTATGTAAAAATTGCTATTTGTCATCTGCGCTTGGCTGGTAAGCGGTCATAGCTTAGGGTTTGGGAAGCTTCATTTTCATGCTTCTCAGAGAAGGAAAAGCAAAGGTAGTTCACGGAGAGCCTATCTGTGTTGGCCACTCTCAGTTTTCCCAAAGGCGGGAGAGGAGGTCATTATCTTGATTGCACAGATGAGGAGAGTAGGACACAGGCAGATTGCAAAGTGAGCCCAAATTGCACGGCAGGTTAACATGGAGCTGCAGTTAGGCCCAGAGTGTCTTGCACCCCTTCCATGCACATGATGGGACCTGGAAATGTCAGGTAGATGGGCTGCCAAGGAGGACCTCAGAAGGGAGCTGAGAAGGGAGCCAGAGCTGTTTAACAGGAAAGGAGCAGTGGCTTCTCCCTGGGTAAGCCTGGAGAAGAGAGGGCTGTGGTTGTTGAACTGCCATGGATGCAATGATTCTTCCTCACAGATGTTCTGCCTCAGGTATAGCCCAACCATGAGCAGCTTGTAGGAAAGGCAGAGAATGGACCTGAGTTCTGATTTTCCCAGTTTGTAATCCCAGGTCCCTCTGTACAAGTCCTGTGTACTTAAGCACTTGACTACTCCTGCTTCCTTATATACAAAATATGGATGTTGATCGTAATTACCATTCCATGAATTACAGTGAGGAGGAAATGAGAAAATTAAGACACTAACTCTGTTTGCTCTGAACACCTTACATGTGTTAACTTTTAATCGTGACAACAATCCTATAAGAAACAAACCATTTTTTTTGCCAGTTCTATAGACTACTCAAGTGCTTGCTCAGCATCATATGGGTGGAAGATGTCAAAACAGATTTGACCATGATCTTCAGAGTCTAAACTTCTAGTGCTAACCACTGGGCTCTCTGATGTAACGCTTGGGCTATGTGACACATTTAGCACGTGGAACCCTCAGAAAGTGTTAGCTCTTAGTATTGTTAGTCTTGGGAACTAAAAGAAACTAGAACTAGATTATAAAGCCAGAGATTTGAGCTAGTGTTAGGACAAATTTTTCTATGTGGGCTTTGAAGGGCTAGCTCATGGAAGACAGAATTTCTTCTCTGGGGATCTTTAAGTTCCATATAAGTTATTGGAGCTTCAAGCTCTCTCTGCAGAGAGAAAAACATACACATGGCCACTTAACCCTTCTATTTTGGATTTCCAGACACAAAACAATACTTCTCATGTTCCTTTATACACCTTCTGTTCATGTCCTTACAATAAAACTGAATGAGAAATAATTGCTGGGCATGATGGCACACCCCAGAAACCCCAGCACTCTGGTAAGCTAAGGCAAGAGGACTGTAAGTTCAAGCCAGGTCTGTGCAACTTAACCTAACCCTGTCTCAAAATGAAAAATAATTTTTAAAAAATGAATGGGGACATAGCTTGCTGACAAGAACTTCTGTTCAATCATCATTACTGCAACTGCCCCCCACAAAAGGAGGTGGAAGAAGAAAAGAAAGGGAAAGAGGAGGAAGAATTTCAAATTCTCTAAGAGCACAATGTGCCACTCAAAACTGAAGAAAAGAGAATGGCTAGTCCATTCATTTCTGGGCATGAAGACAACAAGTTGTGTACCTGGTTTTGAAAACAAGTGGTCAAGGCGTCAGCCGCCCGGTGAGGATGCTCTGCCCAACCCCTCCCCTGTCTGTGATGTGCCTAGGCCAATCACCTCTCTGGGACTCAGCTTCTTCAAACATTGAGCTGGAAGAAGACTATTTTTATTTTTTTGCAAGGGTATCCCCACAATAATTCTCTAATTCTATGGTCAATAGTGAGTAGATAAGACTTAATGGAAGACATTTCTCTGTGAAATAATAAAACAGAAAATGCAGATTACTGACATAAGACAGGCATCATTAGTTGATCACTACGACAGGAATTAGAATCTCTCATCAGTTATGGAAATATCAGGTAAAATGAATGCTCCCTGGTTTATCTTGGAAATCTGCTGTGTAATACTAAGGAAAATAATATACATGCCATAAGAGCAATTTACTTTTCATGTGACTTTGGGAAAGCTACTTCATGCATCTGAAACATACGGTGCAATTGTGCCATTTTGGGGACTCAATAATACATATAGTTTGCTCAGAACATGCTGTGATTGCTGCCAGTAAATTTTAAATAGTCTTTTATTCCTTCCTTACCTCAGTATTTGTAATGCTGATGAAATGCCTCAACCTGGTATTAGAAATTCTCCTGCTCTTTCTTTCCCTAGATGTGAAGCTCTATTTGCATGAGTCAAATGTCTTAAGCATCAACAGACTTAACCTAAGATTTTGAGAAATTCTATCAATATAGTGGTGATTCTGTGTTTTCTTCCAAAAATTTAGGCAAATTTCACAGCCATCAACTCTTTACTGAGCTTCTACTATGTGTCAGGAAAGAGGATCTCAGAGATTTCAAGAAGTTCCAATTTTAATGGGTGGGGCAAGACATACCCATAAGACTTACATTCAATGTGCAAAAAAGGGTGTGTCAAACCAAGTGAGCTGCCAGTGCAAGAAGGGACAGAAAGGCGTGGGATTGATGTAGGGAGGCTTTATCAAGGAGGGGATCTTGGGACAGGACCTGGAAAGCTTGGTAGGATCTGAAAAGGAAGAGAAATTAAGAGACTTGGTAGCTGGAGTGGGGTTAGGGAGGGGAGAAAAGAATTTTGTGAACAAGGACACAGAATGCCAAAGCACTCGGAGCCAGTTAGCTTGGAGTAAAAGGTTTGGAGAGGGAAAGTAGGAGCAATGGTGAGAAAGGAGCATAGGCTTGTTTTAAAAGATCCAAAGATGCATCTTGAATTCTCAGCCATTATTTTAATTTAATTTAATTTAATTTAATTTTATTTTATTGTCTTTTTCCTTTTTATCGGTACCGGGAATCGAACTCACGACTGCCTGCTTGCAAGGCAGGCGCTTATGCTGCTAAGCTAAATCCCCAGCTCTCAGCCATTATTTTTGAGAAAGTGACTTTTTATCGCTTATGAAACTCTGGAGTTGGAAGCGTTCTGATAGGCGATCTGTTGTAGCCCTCTAAAGTGATGAAACAGACACATCCCAATGAAAGTGACACAGAATTTGGTAGTGACCAAATTAGAGTCTATGTCAACTCTTGGTGGTTACTATAAAGGTAGTGGGTGGGTATAGGGAGTGGTCACCTTGGCATCCCCTACTTCCCACAGTACACTGATGGGAGGAACCAACAGCCTCAGATTCACTGACTCTTTTCACATCTTCAATAATATATTCAATCACTCTGTAGCACAGCCGGGGAAGTCCTAAACTGAAGCAAATTTTAGTGCCACAATCTTGTGGTATTCATTCCAGTTCCTGATCACTTTAGGTCTCACAAATATGCTTCTCTTTTGAGAGAGAAGCCAGTAAGAATATCAACCATTGAGGAGAGAGGAGATGGGGAGAGGGCTTGGTAGATCCAACCAGGAAAGCACACAACTCTCGAGGCGGATGACCAGGTAGGTGAACAAGCCTGAGTTCACATGCCGATGACTGGATGTGTGACTTGGAAAAGCCTCTTATTTGGTACCATCTCGGTTTCCTTATCTGTGCAATGGAGACACTGTAGTGTCTTCATAGGATTTTGGGAATGAAGCGAATCAATTATCAGCAAATAACTCAGAGCACCTTGGTTAGATGTTTTGCACACTAGTTCAGTGAATTTCCATGCAAATTTTCATCCATGTAAAGGAAGCAACTGGTAGGTGGAGAACAAAGGTACACTCAGACTTTATAATAACACAAGGGAGACTAGGAAGAAAAACACTTTTAAACAGTCTGCAAGTAGTGAATCTTGTTTACATAATTTTGAGGTGAGAACTCTTTAGCTGGAAGCTAACAAAAAGTTTAGTCTGTGCCTTCCATCCCAGTTAATCCTGGAGTAGGCCAAAGAGGAGTATCTAAAAACAAGAGTTTCAGCTGTTTATGGATTCTCCACAAAGCCTTGCAAGTCTAGCTCTGGAGATGCATTAGGCAAAGCAGCTCTGCCCTACTTATTCTTCCAAGAATTTTTCTGTATATAAAACACATTTCTACCAGGGCTGGCACTAAGACGGTTCAACTGTGAGGGAAAGCAAAATAGGAATAGTATTATTAAACCTCAATGCAGAATGGAGGGAAGGGCTAGAGACAGTGGAAATACCACCTATTGTGTGCATTGAGGCTGTGAAATTGTTCCTTCTTCTGTGGAGGAAGTCCAACCAGTATTATACACTACAACAAAATTTCTGCCTCATATTTTTTATTATACACAGTGTTTCTATGGATGTATGTTTGGTTGGCAGGAGAACTAAAGATACCCTTGAATGAAAAGATTGAATTTTACAACCAGATGTATCCTGGACTGCTGAAAATAATACGGCATGCTGAAAGAAAGGGCCTTGCTCACGCACGCAACACGGGCTGGAAAGCCGCCAGCGCTGATGTGGTCGTCATTTTGGATGCTCACGTGGAAGTGAATGTTGGCTGGTGAGGCTCCGGGAAGGGTCACCCGGGAAGGGCAGCACAGAGATAATATATTAGCGCTGAACACATGACAGGATGTTGTGGGAACTGGACAAGCCAAACAAGACCCGAAGGAAGCAAGAGGAAGTTTTTACTCAAGGCATTCCCATTGGCTAAGAGAAACAGTGTAGTGTCACAGAAGAAACAATGGGCTGGGAGCATCCACAGCTAGATCCTGCCCCAGACTTTGCTAAACACCCTGTGCCTTTAACAAAGTCACTTTGCTTAACCAGACATTTTTGGCTTTACCTGTAAAATCAAGAAACTTCCCACTCATAGTTCCTGAGGTTTTTCCCAGCCCTGAGATGACATGCAATAAAGATTAGATGGAGAATGTAGAGAACCACACAGAAAAAGACATTTTAGAAATGGACCCATAACATAGTAGAAATTCATATAGAATACTGACCGCAGTCCTGGTTCCAGTTGTCCAGGGATGCCTCTGGGGTGCCATCTGCCCTTGTATTGGGACAGTTGTTAGCCTCAATCACCTTGAATGCTACAGAAATTCTGGGGACTCTGGAGAGTCCTGCTCGCTGACCTGCACAGTTGAAATGAGAAGGCAGTGTATGTCTGGGCAAGGTGCAGTGAGCTGGTTTGTCTGACCATTCCTGCTGCTTGCCTTGTCTTCCAGCGAGGCTCATTACTTTCTCTTCTTCCAGGGCAGAGCCCATCTTAGCTCGAATTCAGGAAGACCGCACTGTGATTATATCGCCTGTGTTTGACAACGTTCGTTTTGATACCTTCCAACTGTTGAAGTATGAAGTGGCAGTGGACGGGTTTAACTGGCAACTGTGGTGCCGCTATGACTTCGTGCCACAAACCTGGATTGATCTGGGTGATGTCACTGCCCCAGTGAGGTATATATGTGTAGGTTCTGGGGCCTTGATTGGCACATGGGGGAGCCAGGAATGAAGTGTGTGAGATCAGTTTATGTTTGGTGGTAGTGATAGTGATGAGGTAAAAAAGTGGATGAGCTGGGTTGAAGGATAAGAAATTAGAAGAAATCAACCCAGAGAAGAAATCACAGTCATTTGGGGTCATTTAGAGGTTCCAGTCAAAAATAAAATAATATATTTAATATTTTAGAAGACACTTGGGTCTTTTAAACCATTATCAAGCTATGAAACTGGAATACTGAGATGAAGATGTAATTTGAATATAATTTGAGGTTTATGGTACCTGGAGGGCAGGAAGAGGCTACCGCATATAGCCCTGCCTATAGATTTAAGGAAGGCTTATATGATCAGAAGAGGGGAATGTGGAATCCCAAAGACCAAGCTCTCATGGGGCTTCCCGACTCTCATCTCATCCTGACCATTCCTCATGGAGGGGTTAATGACTTTCTTCCTGTGTGCTATCCAGGAGCCCTTCCATCATGGGCATCCTGGCTGCCAACAGGCTCTTCCTGGGAGAGATCGGAGCTCTGGATGATGGGATGCTGGTCTATGGAGGAGAGAATGTGGAGCTTAGTTTGAGGGTATGTACATTTCCCTGCTGTTTATGAGATAAAGTAGAAGGAGAGTGTGTTGGTCAGTTCTCCATCTTCGTAACAAAATATCTGAGATACCTTAAAAGGAAGCAGTAATTGTTTTGGCTCATAATTTCAGAGTTTTAGTTTATGGTTACTCAGCCCTGTTGTCCTTGGGCATGTAGTGAGGTAAAACGTCACAGCATGGAGCTCATAGTGAAGGGAACTTTGCAGTCATGGCACCTGGGAAGTAAATGATTAGAAGGGGCAGGTCTCAGTATGACCTTCACCAGCATGCCCACTAGTGATCTAACTTATACACGTTTGGATCCACTTCTTAAAAGTTCCACCACCTATAGTGCCATACACTGCCAACCAGGCCTTTACCATGTGGCCTTTGGGGGACACTTAAGGTCCAAATAATAACAGAAAGATAACAGGGGAGGGTAACAGGGTCTCTAGAGTCTTAGAAGAGGATGAATATCACTGGCTCAAGAAGTAGCCAAATTTTGATTCAGGGTTATCAGGCAAAGGAAGGATTGGCAGTGGGATTCCTGGAGTGCAGCTGTCTTATGTAGGACTACATCCTTTAGGAAATATGGTTGGGAAGATAGAGCTGAGGTTAAGCAGATGTTGCTCCAATTTCCCCTGAGGATCCAGACATGTTCCAAGCATCTCCTTGAATAAATCAACTTCAGGGGAAGACAGCACCCTATAAATTCAGACTGAGAAACTGGGGTGGGTAGAGAGAGGAAGGAATTCAGGTATGTAGGAAGCCAGCCTGTTTCTGTGTGGAACAGACAGAGGAGTAGGCATGATGGCATGAGTCTGTGCATGAGTATCTCAGTGCAGTCCAGGAGGAATATCTAGGGATGCGTGCAGCATTAAGAGTCTCAGTCTAGTCCTCGTTCTCTGAGGCTTCCTGTGCCTGGAATAATCCTGGTTCCACACTTCAACAGGAGGTTCTCTCATCTGCCCTGGCAGCTTCTTTTGTTTGTTCATCTCAAATGTACAACATGAATTTCTAGGCTGTTTAGGGAACTTGGGTCTAGAGAAATCCAGGTGTGGGTTCATTAAAAATGTAAAACCAAACCAAACCAAACCAAACCTGTATAACAACCCATCTCAAACTTGTTTAAAGAAGTAATAATTGATTCTCACAGATTTGATGGTCCAGCCTAATTTGAATGGGATGCACTTTTCTACATATGTTTAATCTGGAGCTCAGTTTTCCATGACATCTCTTTGTGGTCAAGTGGGGTCATATGAAGTCTCCTGAGGCTCAGAGTTGAAAGCATCATACTATCTCAAAATAACCCACATGGCCAAACTTAAAGTGGCATGAAGCATTAGAGCTGATAAAGTCCATACATCACAATCAATTTAGAACAGATTTCTTGCATTAAATATCTTTTCCACAATGTCTTAGTTGCTTTTCTAGTCTTTGGAACACAATACCCAACAGCCACTACTGAATGGAGGAGAGGTGTACTTTACCCCACAATTACAGTCCAGTGTTGGCTGACTTGGAGGCAGAACGGTACAGTGGGGGCCGTAGCAGAGGAGCTGCTGCTCATGGCACAGCCACCCCAAAGCAGAGAAAGTGAAGGAAGAGCCAGGTGGGAGATACACCCTTCCAGTCCTCACCCTAGCAATCGTGACTTGCATTGCTCTGATGGTTAGTGATTCTGAGCATTTTTTTCATTAGATCCTGTCTTTCTCACATGATAAATCTTGGAGCTACATGGGGTGCTTTGTTCTGACATCTAGTGGGCATGGCAGTGCTGGTACTCATGGATGTATAAATGGGAATGAGGAAGAGAAAAGGAAAGTCAGAATTGTAAAGCAATTATACTATGCCAGAGATTACTTAACACAGGGGTTTCCTGGTCCAGAATCAGGCCTTGCCGTAGCTCAGCTGATACACATGGGGAAGGCACCCAGACAGAGATGACAGCAATACCTACATGGCACGGGTTAACTTTATGAGAACTGTTAGGACAGCATGACACAGTCACTCACTGTTTCTGTAAGTGGAGACTTCGTGTCTGTGTGCATGTGTCACAGTGGGATGGAAGGACAGGAAAGGGGTGGCAAAAGAAAAAATGAGAGAGGAACAGAGGGAGAAGAAGAGGAAGAGAAGAGGGAATTTGACAACTGAGAATACACTGGGGAAGTATAATTTGAAAACTGTTGGGCAAAGGTAATCAATAATATCACTCCTTAAATGGCAGTCCTGATTTTTAATTTGCAACGAGGATTTCTTATGCCAACAGATGATTTTCCCCCCTAAATTTCTATAAATTGGAAACTTTTGTCAACTAGGAAAATTGAAGTGAAGTTTTGTTTGGATTTCTATTTGCATGACTGTAGGAAGAACAAATTGGATTTAATCACATGATTCTAAGGACTACAGAGGAGAAATAGAACAGGTTAATGGGAGAAAAATGTGCTTCAGGGTAACCTTAGAGGCTGCTGCAGTGAGTACTGGTTACGTCCTTTGGATCCTCCTGTCAGCCTGGGAGGTTGGGCTCATCCTGTCTGCAGATGAGTGAGCTGAGACTCAAACAAGGGTGAGCATTTTTTTTCCCCCAGCTGTCAGGTGTGCAGTCAGGATTCAAGCACAGGTCAGTCTGACTTCCAAGTATGATCTTCTTCACTTCATTATTCTGGGCAGTGGGATGCTAGGGGGAGGGATCGATGAGTTAGTAAACAGAGAAAGGGATGAAAATAAATTGAAAGTCATACAATAGAACTGGGTTTTCAGGTGGACACTCTTTTGATGCCAACAGACCCCTACTACCTATCCATATCTCAGGCATTTCCACTGGCCAGAGAGCATCAGGCTTTAACTTCTGCTTGGGAGCAAGTTAGCTCCCAAGAACTACAACTCACCTGCAGATTGTATGATATCAACCCAACATGATTAGATAGTTCTGTTGTCCATGGGGATGAAGATATTTTCTAAGCCCAATATTAGAACACATATTTTGATGAGTATGTTTGCACCCATCAAGGTGGTAAGGAGCAACATTTATAGCATCATAAGTCATGATAGCTTTTGCATTGATACCACTTGCTGTGTAACAATATTATCATGAACCTAGTGTCTTAAAGCAAGATGCATTCTTTATCCTACAGCTTGTGTAGGTCAGAGGTCTGCAGTTTAGCTGAGTCCTGGGCAAGGTTGTAGCCAAGGTGTAGACCAGGGTTGGGTTGTCCATATAGACTAGAATGTAGAAAGATCTGCTTTCAGGACCACATGATTGTTGATAGCACTAAGTTCCTTTATGTTTTCCACACTGAGGGAACAATCAGTGTTTGAGATGATTAGCTGAAAGCCACACTTGGTTTCTCACCATGTAGTCCTCTTTATAAGTTAGCTCACAACATTTTGGATGGCTTCTTCAAAGCCCATGAGAAACTGTCTCCCAGTCAGATGGACACTACAGTCTTGTGTTGTAAACACAGACATATAATCAAGTATGTTCTTTAACCTTAACCATATACCGTCAGAAGATGGTCATAGACTCACAATCAAGGGAAGGTAAGGGTGGTGGATGGGTTATGGAGGCCACCTCAGAGTATGTCTACACCTTGGCTTTGTATCTAACATGTAGGCAGAAAGGCTCATGAGAAACTGTCTAGTGAGAAGGATTCAGGATACAGTGCCTCTCAGGACTTAGGCACTTTCCTTGGGACCAAGGGAACAAAAATGCCCATTTAGGAGAACTTCCTGAAGGAGGAGGGGTTTCAGTGGCTTTTTGTTGACAGGAGCGGGACATTTTGGTAGACTCTTAAGGAAGGGTGGTTTAAGTAAGAAGGTGAGGTGACCTACAGGTGGGAATGGGAAGTTAAAATTTGTAGTCTTTAAATAATTTTTAGGGTTGCCCTGCGAGTTAAGGAGTCACACAGTTCATGGACTGTAGGTACACTCAATCCAACCCCCTCAGGTGACCCTACCCTTCTCTTGCAGGTGTGGCAGTGTGGAGGGAAGATTGAAATCTTACCCTGCTCCCGAGTAGCCCATGTGGAGCGTCACCACAAGCCCTATGCCTTGGATCTAAGTCCTTTCTTGAAGCGCAATGCTCTGCGTGTGGCTGAGACTTGGATGGATGAATACAAACACATGGTCTACCTGGCCTGGAACTTACCACTTCAGGTTGGTCAAGAGCTAAAATGAAGCAGAAGAGGATGGAGAATGGAGGAGGTGGTGGTGATGTGGGGAATGGAAAGGGTATGAAGAAACATGTCATCCCAGTTCTAAAGCATTCAGCCATATTCACAAAGTGTGACAATAGTGACACTTTGCTTTATCTAACAATGCTGTATTCCATACACGGTTTTATTTAGTTACTTGCTTTTTTATATTAATTGGTGCATTCTAGATATGCCTAATGATCATATTCATCATAGAGAATTTGCACTTGTACATGGTATATTTTCTTTTTTCTCATTCCCCTATTCTTCCTTCAAGCCTTCTTACCCTCCTTGTTTACAAAAGTTTTGCTTTCCATTTCCCCCTCCATAATCCCTCATTTTAAAATACCTTTTTCCTTTCTTCCTTTCCCCTTTACTAGTTATCCTTCACATTTGAACATTTTCTTCCTATTTCACAGTATCCATTATATATTTGGTCCATATTTACCCTTTTAGTTTCTCATATCAGAGAAACCATGTGATATTTGAATGCGCGTTTCTGATGTTTCACTTAAAAGCATGGTCTTAAGGTGCATCCATTTACCTAAAAATGTCACAAGTTCATCCTTTTCTGCTTCTTTTTTATGTCCTTCATTATATTGATTCTTAAGTATTTCATTGTTTTGAGATGCTATTGTGAAAAATGTGGTTTCTCTCTCAGAGAGTGTTAGTTGTGTACAGGAATACTACTGATTCTTGAGTGTTGAGTTTGTATACAGCTATGCTACTGAATTTAGACTTTAAATCAAGGATCCTTGGTGGAAGTTTTGAGGTCATCTATGTAGAGTCTCTTGTCATTTTCAAGTATTGGTAACTTAACTTCTCCATTTGTTATCATTATTCCTTTTCTTTCTTTCCCTTGCCCAATTTCTCTGGTTATTGTTTCCCAAACTATATAAGAGTGGTAATAATGCATAACTTTAACCAGGATATCTAGTATCAGGATAGTGAATATCTTGATTTTAGAATGAAAGCTTTCAGTTTTCAAACATTTAGTATGATATTGGCTGTTGGTTTGTTATAGGTGGTGTGTTAGTTACTTTTCTTTCATTGCTGAGACAAAACACACAACACCCAAAGTTAGAGAGGAAGAAGTTTACTGTAGCTCACAGTCTGTAGAGGTTTCAGTCTGTAATTGGCTGACTACAAGGCAAGGTGGCACAGTACACAGGCATCACAGAGGAGAAACAGTTCATGGTGGGTAGAAGGTACTAAAGCAAGCAAGGGACTTGGGCAACTTTTTTCTACCCCTTTTATATTCTACTGGTTTTTATAGGCTACTGGGTTTAGGTGATTTCAGATCAGTCCTAGCACTCTTAATTCTAGTGTTGCACTATGATCAATCACACACTGTAGATTCACCCACCTCTGGAAAAAAATGCCCCTATGACTACATGAGCCTTTGGAGGGACATCTAAGCATAAACCGTAACAGGTGGCTTTTATTGGATTGAGATAAAGACCATCTATTTCATTTTTATATAGTATTTTTTAAAATCATGAATAGGGTGTTGGACTTTGTTAAATGCTTTTCTGCAGCTTTGAGATGATCATGATCATTTTTGTCCTTGGCTCTGTTAATATGGAGTATTACATTTATTGATTGGCTTATGTTGAACCATCTCTGCATCCATGGCATGAATTCTACTTGGTCATGTTGTATAATCTTCATGATGTGCTGCCTTCTGTTTGCCAGTATTTTACTGAGAATTTTTGCATCTATGTTTATTAAGGCAATTGGTCTGTAACTCTCTTTCTTAGTTGGGCCCTTTTTGGGTTTTGATATGAGGGTAATGCTTGCTTAAAGGAATTTTCAAATAAAAGATAATGGAGGGAAAAATGGAAAGCAAAGCTTTTCTATTTTTTTCCCTTTCAATTTCATTAGAAAGTTTGAGTAGTGGAATTAGATCTTTTTAAATTTCTTGTAGAATTCATCTATACAATCCACTAGGATTCTTGTAGATTTCTTGTAGAATCTGTTAGGATCTGAGTTTTTCTTTGTTGATGGATTTTTAATTACATCTTCATTTTTATTGACTGATATTATGTTATTTAAAACTTCTATATCTTCTTGATTCGGCTTTGGTAATTCATGTTTACCTAGGAATCTCTACTTCTTCTGGGTTTTTCATCTTATTAGAATAAAGTTTCTGGAAATAAGTATTGATGATCTTCTGGATTTCTGCAGGATTCATTGTGATTTCACCCTTTCCATTCTGAATTGCTTGGACTTGGATCTTTTCTTTCCTTTTTTGGTAAGGTTGGGTAAAGTTTTGTCAAATTTATTTACTTTTTTGAAGAACCAACTCTTCAGTTTACTGATTATTTATATTGTTTTCTTAGTCTCACTTGCATTAACTTTTGCTCTGATACTTATAATTGCCTCTCTTGTATGAGCTTCAGGCTTGTCCTCCTCCTCATCCTGTTCCTCCTTCTCCTCTTCTTTTTTTTTCTTCTGCTCTTTTTTTTTTCTAGAAGCTTGAAGTTCAACATTAAGTTGTTTATTTCAACTCTCTCTGTTTTTCTGATAGGGGAACTCATCAGTATGTTTCCCTCATATGACTGCTTTTATTGCATCCCATAAGTTCTGATGTGTTGTGTTAGAATTATCAATCAATTGTAAAAGATGTCTAATTTCTTCTGTAATTTCATTTATGATCCATTGGCTGTTTAGGAAAGTGTTAATTTCCATGTGTTTGTAAAGTTTTTGTGTTTTTCTTTTTGTCATTGGTTTCCAATTTCACTGCACCATGACCTGATAATATGTTTAAGATAGTTTTAATTCCTTTGCATTTACTTAAGCATGTTCAATGAGTTAATTCAGGATCTATTTTGGAGAACATCCCACATACAGCTAAAGAGAATATAATTCTGATGGTATGGAGTGGAACACTGTATAGATATCTACTAAGGCCATTCATTCAAAATTTTGGTTCAGTTTTGGTATTTTTGTTGATTTTTTTTGTTCAGTCAATCTATTTGTGATAGTGGGGCATTGAGTTTCTTCATTACAATTGTATTAGTGCTTATTTAATTTTTCATGTCCATTAATATTTGTTTATACAGTTGGGTGTATTGGTATTTGGTGCATATATATTTATGATTGCTATCTCTTCCTCTTGGATTGCATATCCTTTACAAGAATATGATTAACCTTTTGTTTCTTTGATCAGTCTTAGCTTAAAATCCACTTTGTCTGCAAATATAATAGTAACATCTGCTTCTTTCTGGGTTTCTGTCACAGGGAGTATTGTTTTCTATCCTTTGACTTTCAGTTTGTAAAGTTCTTTTTGTGTTGTGTTTCCTGTGTGCAGGATATTGTTGCATCATGTTTATTCATCAGTTCTGACAGTCTGTTTCTTTTGATTGGTGAATTGATATCATGTACATTGAAGGTTTATCACTGATATGTATTGTCAAATTATTTTCCTATTGTTGGTTCCCTTTCTTTCCCCTCCGTTTAATTACTTGTCTTGCCTGGTGGATTGATTCTCTCAAGGTTGATGGAATTGTAGTCTTTGTTATATCTTTCTAGAATGTTTTTCAGGACATTTTTGAGTGCTGGGTTGGTGGTCATGACTTTCCTCAGGTGTTCTTTGTCATGGAAGTATCTTATTTCTCCATCAATTTTTTTTTGTATTTTTACAGGTACCAGGGATTGAAATCACAACCACAGGCTTGCAAGGCATGCGTTTATACCGCTGAGCTAAATCCTTTCCATCAATTTTGAGGGATAGTTTTGGAAGGCACATCACTCTGGGTTGAAGGTTGCTTTCTTTAGAGTTTGAAATACTTCTAGCTGTCCTTGACTTAAGGGTTTGTGTTGAAAAGTCTGTTGTACATTTTATGGACTTTACTTTATAAATGATTTATTTATTTTCCCTAACGGTTTTTAATTTTCTGCATTTGTGTTGAATTTCTAGAATTTTGACTATTATATTCTTTGATTCTTTGATTATGGCTAATTGGAATTCTGTATGCCTTACTTATTTTTGTGTCAATTTTTTTTACTATGGGTGGAAAGTTTTCTGCTATTATTTCTGTGAATGGGTTTTTAAAAAAATGTCATGTGCACTATCTCCTGTTTCACTGACTATGATCAATGTTATTTCATTACTTTTTGCATCATCTACCATTCGTTGGTTTTATTTATTTATTTATTTATTTTTGTTCTTGGCTATCTCTAAGAAATTTTTCTTTTCATGATTGTCAACCACAGTCTTGCCTTTTATATCTGATATTCTGTGTTCATGTTGATTTATTCTGCTGTATATACTTTCAATAGAATTTTTAATCTCCTGGGTATCTGATTAAGTCTGTTGCATTTCTTTCTTATGTTGGGGATTCATAGTTTCCATCATTTTCCTAAGTGCCCCTTCAAATTTTTTAAATTTATAAATAAAGAAAGGAAATAAGCCAAAAAAAAAGAACCCCAAAAAACAGTCACTTCAGTGCATGTCTGTGCTATCATTGTTAGACAGAAGGGGCAGACAGAGCCCAGATCCATGTTGACTAATCCTTGCAAACCAGAATTGAATTACAGTGGTTGAAAATCCTAGAAAACTCACAGCTTTAGTTCCAGGTTCAGGCATGTTTCTGGTTTCTGGCTGTGAACCTGGGACCCTGAGTTGTTCTTCTGTAACATTCAAGGTGCTTCCTGCTGTCCTGAACTTGGCTCCTTGCTGGTTTGAACTCTACTCCCTGACCTCCTGCTGGTTTGAATTTGAGTGTACCTTACCTTGACAGTGGGGGCCACTAGGTGGAGCTAACCCACAGCTGCTCTGATTTCTGAATTCAATTGGTGCCTTTCCAAAGTGGCAATTGGCCAATTACTCTCTCCTGGGGGACGTCTGAACCTGAATTGCTCACTAGCCACTGCAGGCTGCAGTGTCCAGGGCTCCATTCCATTGGTCTATTTCTCCATGGAGACCTCTGGAGTTGCTAGTAGATGCTATGTGTTTGCAGATTCAAGCTGCCTCCCATGTCTTGAGCTAGGCCTCAAGGAGAAAGTGCTACTTGCCACTTCTCTCTTCTGCACTTCAGTCCCTCTCTTGGCTCTCCCCTTGGGCTCCAATTATTACTTCAAATCCTTTCTGAGTCCTGGAGATCCACTTCCTTCCTCCTTCTCTTCCTCAGGTTTCTGTATTCCAGCATCTAGATTCCAAATCCCAGAGGGGCTGTTTCTCTGTGCTTACCATTCTGCCATCTTCTGGAAGTCCAGACACTTTTATAAATTAACTCGTGAACCACCGGATGTACCTGTGGGGTATATTCTATAGACAAGGAAGTCAAATCTCAGCAAGCTGGAAGCGGTTAGCTTAAGATAACACACATGCAAGTAGTAGCAGAGATGACACTCAAACCAAAGAAATTTGCTTGTCATCCTTCTCTCACACTGGGGGATTCTTTGCAGGGAACAGTTGGACATCAGTTATTCTCAGTCTTAAGAGGATACAGACATAGCAGGCACATGTGACACGGTGAAGGTAGGTACAGTGATTTCATTGGAGATACTTGAATGAGGATAATGCACTTGGCTGAGTCCATATCTGCTGCTCTGGTTGCCTGAGCTTGGTGTGACATGCTACCCCTACTCTGGGCCCAAGCACATTTGGCATACAGAGAATCATCAGTAATCTCTCCCCTTCCACCACTCTGGATCTGGAAATTGCCTTCCAGAAAGCCAGAAAGTCAGGGTGGTGGAGACTGTGGAACAGATCTAGAAGAGAATGTCTGCAAACAAGATGGAGCCCGGTTAAGCATGAAGCACAGTGGGGTGAAGAAGAGAAATGTGTACAGAAATGCCCGAGATTTCTTCAGAATTCATAGTCATCAAAGTCCTCCCTTTGGGCGGGCATCATCAAAGCTAAGAGAGGAGGGTTGCAAGCCCAGTACCACACAAATAAACCAACCAAACCAAAGAAAAGTGAAAAACAAAACAAAACAAAAAATAAAAACCAGTCATCAAAATGCCAATAATATACAGTTAGCTGGTTGTTGGAAAACATTGGAAAGAATTTTTTCTGGTGCCCAGTAAACCAAGGTATGATGGGAAGCATGCAGTCTTCCTTCTTCCCCCTCCACAGTCATGTTTGTGACTGCATCAAACTGTAGAGGAAACTTTCCCTAACTCAGCAAACCACCTATAATGTATAATCTGAAATGCATTTCAAGGGAAGGTTCTGGGCAAAGGGCAGATACTCATGTGATTTTTACGTTTCCTTCTTTATTTGCCTCTTTCTTGTCTTTTCACTTTGATTACTTACAAATATCACTTCTAGGAAACCTCTGATCTCCAGATTTGGGTGCTAGAATTCCTTTGAAAACCTTTTGGGCCATCAAGAGGGACATTATGTGCCTTGTTGAAGCAAATAGCATCCCAAACAGGAGAAATATGTGCTAAGAAATAAACCCAAGTGGACTCCACGAGCAAGCTTTGCAAACGTCTGTGGAACCAGCAGAGGTCCGAGGGTTCAAGGCTTTTCGACTTTCTCTGTAAATATAAAACATAAAGGTTACTTGCTGGCCACCAGGATAACCCTCAGTTTCCTCATTTGTGGTCTACACCCTCCGTGGAGTTAAGGAGGAAGGAAACATGGAAAGAGGCACAGAACCTCATGGTGCTTTTCTGTTTTCTTCTTTAGAACTCTGGGATTGATTATGGAGACATCTCTTCCAAAAGGATGCTCCAGGAGAAACTGAAATGTAAAAGTTTTGACTGGTACCTGAAAAATGTTTATCCAGTCCTGAAGCCAATCCCCATCCATGACATTGTGGGCTACGGAAGAGTATGTATTATGAAATTGCATTTTCAGATTTTAAAAGTTTGGTTGTCAAAGATAGTGAAATCCAGATTACATGACTTCTCGGCCAGGATTCCTGTCCTACCCCACCGCATCCTGAACCATTCCTTTCTTGGTCCTCAATTCCTATTTATTTCCCTTCTCTCTGCCTCTGGTCCCTGGGCCAACAGCAGCCCCTGCTGACCTCTCAGTTTCTCCCCAGTCTACCTAACGTGGGGGCACTGGCCCGTCTCTGTCTGCTGGAGTGGCGCTGGGCACCTGAAGCCACATCACAGCAGCACCTCCCCTAGGCATTTATGTTTCCCAGTGTTTAGAAAATGCTGCCAGGATCCCAGCCTCCCCTTCTTTTGGCTGGTGGTTTCTTTTCTTTCCTTTTATTTTTCTCTTTTCCTTTTTTTTTGGTTTCTTTCCTCCTTCCTCCTTTCCATCCCCTCCAACCCTGCTTGTTATTCTCTGAGACAAGGTGTTGCTAAATCCAGGGTAGGCTGGCACTTATAGAGCCTCCTACTTTAGTGTCCCAAGTGCTACCATGGTATGTGCTACCATGCTTGCCCGACTGGGCGGTTGGGTTTTGTGCGAGGATTGATGTCCTCTTTCTCTGTCTGTTTCCAACACTGCTGGTATGTTTTCTACCTTCAGATGAAAAACTCCTTGGATAAAGGAATCTGCCTGGATCGTGGACCTGTTACAAACAATATTCCCATCATGTATGCCTGCCATGAGTTGGGTTCACAGGTACCTTCCACATCTCCCCACCTAGTAGCCGAGTCTGTTTAGGCTCAGTGCCTGGGAATTTCTGCCACATTTAGATGCGGTGATAGGTGATGGGAGGCTGGGGCTAATCATCTTGGCTAATAGGTAAGAGAAGAATAACGAAGCACTTCCTAGTTCACAGCAAGATGGTTCCATTTCTGGGATAAAAATCTTGGCTGTGTTTCCTCTTCGGTTAGTATTTCATGAATAGTCACCTCCAGCTCATCCTTTTCCTCCTCCTGCTCCTGCATGCGCTGGAAAGTGTGCAGCACAAACTGTCTGCACTGCTCTTACAGAGCAAAAGCAGAGAGCTGGAGAAGTGAGAGGGACTGGAAATCCCCTCCACAGGGTAGCGGGATCTGGCTCCAAGTGTGAGGTGCAGCCCAGAGAATACATCTGTGGTCTTCCTTTGCATGTTGCCCTCATGGACCTCTTTTGGTAGATGTCCTTCCTGCTTAACAGCTGGAGAAACTGAGATACAAAAACAGCTTCCTGTCCATGTTCATCAAACAGGCAGTGTCCACATAGGAACTCGAAGCGAGGTTTCCTGTCTGGATCCCCACTGCTAGGGTTTACGGCTTCTCAGCTCCAGCTGGGCTTTCTCAGGAGATCCTTTGCTCTCTTTCAGTATGTCTACTATCGCCTGACTGGGGAGTTCTATGTGGGGTCACTGGTCGCCGAAGTTCACAGTGATGACCTTTGCCTGACTGACCCAGGGCATAGGGAAGAGCCTACTTTGGAGCAGTGTTCTAAGGCAGCCCAGAATAAACTGCACATATATTGGGATTTTAAGCAGGTGAGTCATATGCTTTTTGTTGTTGTTGTTTTCTGGTGTTAGGGATTGAACCCAGGGTCTTTCACATGCTAGGTAAGTATTCTACTGCTGAGCAATATTCCCAGCACAGATATATTCAAATATTATATGAAAGGCTCAGGTTGATAGGACTTTAAGAAAGTTAGCTTTCCTGGCAATGTATAGGAAAAAATATTAGAAAGTGAAAGTGTGAGATGCACAATCTCCTAAGGCAGGGTAGTTAGGGTTGGAGACACTGGAGTCTGCTATAGCTTGATAAAACTTAGGTTCAAATCCTAGCCCAGCCACCTTCTGCATGTTCCTGCTCCTCTCTGAAACTCAGTGTGTCCTTTTGTAAATGTAGATAATCATATCTACCTTGCAGACCTGTTGGGATGATTAAATAACACTCACGAGCACGAGGCATGGTGCCCACCACACAGGAGTGTCCGTTAAGTATTAGCCACTCTTAGCCACTGTCATTAGTTTTCATTATTAATGGTGATGAGACTATGCTGAAATCTGACCAGGATAAATGTCAAAGCCCTGCCTTTTACTTCAGCTCCATACTATGAAGGAGAAGGTAGAGGGAATTTGGCAAATGTCACAATTCGTGTGACAGTAATACGAAGGACTTGGCTGACCATGGTCGCACATAACTGTGCCCCGTGGTGGGGCTGCTCTAAAAGCTTTTGTATTCTCAGGCCACTTCAGTGCACTTGATGTCCTGACAGAAGGAAATAGTGATCTGTCACAGTCATGTGCTCCTGCCTCTGAACACACTGGTACTGCCTCATGTTCAGGGGCCACATGATTTTTTAAAAATGGAAAATCCCAACTTTCTAAAGCTAATGACCTCTTTGAGACTTTCCTGCTAGCTGTGGATTCTCTCTGAGAGAAAAATATAATATACACCTATGCATGACATTTTGCTTCCGAATTCAGACAGTTTTTGCATCTTAGGTGATTTCTTGGAACAGGACAGTATCAGCTGGAAAGAGGAGGAGAGAAATACCTTCCCGCTCCTTGTGACCTCAATATAGGCTCCAGGGACTTGGAGCCACATGTGATGCAATGACAGATTGTGCTCTCTCTTGCTTCAGGCCTTTTTGCGGAGGTTATCTCTTCCTTCCCACCTCTTAATAGGACTAACCCAGAGTGCGTGAGCTACAGGAGAATGGGGTACCCTGTGTGCTCTTGGGGCTCTGCTTCTCAACTTTCTTATCCTCTCTTGTAACTGCCTGCTCACTTGCTCCTCTCCACCACTCGGCTGTGAGCTGGAGGGCAGGACCTCCAGCAAAGTATGTTGTTTTATCCCCCAGCATTTGCCACAACACCTGGAACGTGACAGATATCAGTAGATGGTCACTGGAGTTTTGACTTGGAGAATGGATGTGGAGGAAGATGTTGCTGTCTTCTTGCAGAAGAGAGCTGTGTTAGTTAGTTTTCCATCACGATGCTGAGTGCTCTGAGATAAGCAGATTGAAACAGTGGTTCATCTTGACACACAATTTTGGAAGGTCTAGGCCCTGATTGTTGGCCCCACTCTTTGGGGCCATGATGAGGTGTGCAGCATGCTGGGTATCCAGGTAAAGCAGAAGAGAAAGAGGAAAGGTCCAGGGTCTCACAGTCCCTTGCAAAGGGCTGCACTCAAGCCTGGAAGAGTTCACACCAGGCCTTCCTCTTAAAGGTTTACCCTCAACAGCCACAGTGTGGCAAGCAGGCCAGCAGGCTACTCCAAGGGCCTTCGGTGTCAGTCCAGATCAAACCTGGAGCAGAAGTCATAGGAAGGCTGACTTAAATCAGTGGCAGGTGATGATGGAGGCTGGTCCTAACTTAACACAGGACAGGAGTTCAAACAGTCCAACAGTCTGAGCTGTTCTGGAAAAGAATGGGTGGACTGGCATGACAGTGCATTCTCTGTCAGAGCGTATGGAGCATGTGATGGACCTCGCTGGCTAAATGTTTTTGATATCTGTGACAGTCTTAGTATCTTACCTATAGGTAAGTTTTAACAATCATTTTTATAAGAAGTTTTATAATTTAATAAATTAGATTTTATTAATCATTTTCTTAGTTACTTTTCTCATTGCTGAGAAAATAGCTGGCACCTGCAAGTTGAAAGAGGTTTATTTTAGCTCATTATCTGTAGAGTCTATAGTTGGCTGACTCCAAGGCAGGGCAGCATAACAGAGGAGAAACAGTCCATGGCAGGGTAGTTAGGTAGCAGTGAAGCAGAACTTTCTCTTTTATCCCATCCAGCCTACAAGCCTATTGGATGGTAACATCCACAATCAGGGTAGATCTTCGCATTTTCCATCCCCAGTACTATGCTAAACCAATCACCAGACTAATTTAATTATCATACACTCTTAACCCCAGTAGCACACACCCTAATCCACCATCACACACATGATTTAGCTACCTCCCAAAAACCTCATCTATGAGCATATGACATGTTGGAGGGACATCTAGACACAAACCATAACAATGATTATGGGGTCTATTTACAAATTTAAAATATTATCTTTCCCTTCTTAAGAACTTCAAGTATCTGACTTTATATCTACTGATTTAAATATTTTTTGATCTCTCAAATATTTCAAACGTGTTTACAAAATAAAACCTCCACATAAAATCATACATCTAATTACCCAGTTACACATTTTTAAACTGGTAACACAAGGCTAATTTGTAAGATGCCAATTTTTCTTAAATACAACAATTTAAAAATAGTTAATACACAGAGAATCTTGAACAAGTATTATAAGTTTGACTTCATTAACATTTGTATTTTATCTTAAATCTCTTGGGAATTTAAGATGTTACTTATCCTGAAGAATCATGCATCCCAAATTTTGGGGAAGTTTTCTCCCCAGGGAATTTTAAGAGATTATCTTCTCAGGTGCCTGGACTTAGTAAACAGAATAGCAGTGAATAGCAGTATGAGACTTGGACTGCAGGATCTCTAGGGACATTCTGCCTGCCACTAAAATACAGCCTAGGTCCTTTTCCATGGACACCATGTCAAGAACTTTGTAAATTAATGAGGAAGGTGATCTAGTAGTTCTTGGCATATTATTTAATTTTAAGTTTGTCTTGAGTCAGTTTCTCCAGCACAATCCTTTCCTGTCTGTCTTATGCCACATGTTTTCAGATGTGAAAATGATTTTGGTTGAACATTGGTCCCACTTGTGTTCAGTTTACTTTGTAGGCACAGCTTACAAATTCATTTTACTGAAAACCTGCCAAAGATATTCCCAAAAGTAAAAGACAGATGAGCTATGTTCTGGCTTATCTCTAGAAATGTCCCCAAAGCTTCATGTGGTCATAGTGGGGGCTTTCCAGAGGTGGCTGGATCTATGGTGGGTGTAGAATTAAGGACATGTGATTACTTAAACAGTTCCCTGATGGATTTGGCATAGTTCTGGCATGAATAATGGGAAGGCCCACCCTGGGTCTGAGTGCTACCTGCCCTAAAGGCATGTAATATTGGATAGCATATAAAGGGCAGAAAGAGGGCTGCTGTCATCATTTGCTGCTTTTTACAACTTTGCTACTTTGCTGTCTTCTGCCCACCATGAACTGTTTTTCCGTTGCAGTATTTCTCTCTGCTGTACCACTCTACCTTGAAGTCAGCCAACTATGGACTGAAACCTCTATTAACTGTGAACTACAATGAACCTCTTCTCCTTTAACTTTGAGTACTGTGTATTTTGGCTCATCAATGAGGAAAGCAACCCAAACAGCTAGTTAATCCCTTTTGCTTCCTGCCTCAGGTTCTGTGTTTTGATTGGCCACAAGAGGTTTGGGACTCCTGGGACTGTAAGGGAACTGTGCCAGTGACCAGGGGAGCCAGGTTGGAGAGGTGCAGAGCTCTGAGATGCCCTGGTACATGTGAACTTTGAGAGGAGAGGCCCAGGGTCGGGTGTGGTGATGCAGCTGGAGTAAGGCAGAGGTGGAGTAGGTGATCTCAGTACAAAGAAGGGGCTTTGGGGGGCTTTGAGGAAGACAGCTCTGTGCTCAGGTGTTGAAGGTACCCACAGACACTAAGGTTGTGGGTGAGCCTTGAGTGCAGGCCCAGGAGCAACTTGCTCTGCCACTAATGAAACCCTAATTGTGACCCCTCTAAAAATACTAATTCTCTTTTAGAACAGTATCTTAACTTAAGAAATAGTTCAGCATGTAGGCCAACCTTGTTCTCACCATAGAAAATCACTAGGAAAAATGAAAATATCCAGGGGTACAACAGATTTTTGTTTACTGAATATTGTATAACCATTCAAATAATATTCTCAAAATACATTTTCAAAATTAAATGAGAAAGACCCATAATATAAAGGTAAGTTTTAAAAAATACACAGTATCATCCAATTGTAAGTATTACTAATTTCTAAAGCTATATTTTCTAAGTTAAAAGATAAGCATAAGCCAGCCAACATTAAGGACAATTGTCAAACAGAAATTGGGAGAAAACAGAAAACAGGACATTAGTTTTTTTCTAACAAGTCATAATAATTGTAATTGCCAGGGGTTGTGAACACATGACAGATATTGGGCTAAATATCAACTTTTTTCTTCTGTAAAGGAATGAAAGCATGGAGGAGACAAATAATTTTCCGAGTCACACAGTGCAGTAATTGTACAGAACTGAAGCACAGAATCTTAGCCACTGTGTGTTATTACCTTGTCACTTGGGAATTTGATTCTGAAATGGGGTTGGGGCATTGGAGTAGGCACCAAATGTTGGTTGAGAAGGATGGAGAATTAAGCTTTGGGTTCTTTTTTTCCTGCTTGTAATATTATGACATTGGGATATATTTAAAGGCCATACAAAAAGAATCTGTTAAGAGAGAAACTATCAGACAGAAGGTAGGTCTTACATCCAGGGCACTGGGCTCCAAGCACGGAGAGGCTGCTGCAAATAGTGGCTCTTTTGAGGTCACTGTGAGGCTGCAGGTGTGGACAGCTTGTGGCTTTCAGGTAAAATGCAGACGGAGTGGAAGTATGATGTTGTTGACATCTGGTGAGAGGGTATGGGGTGGGATGGAAGGACAGGGCGTGCTGTGGAGACCTGGACGAGTAGCAAGCCCACTCTTGTGGCCAGGCGCTGGTGGGCATCAGTGAGCAAGACTTGCTGAGCTGGGTTCCCTGCCAGTTTCTCTGCAGTTGGTAGCAGTTACTAAGAGAAGGGCATTGTGGAGTGGCAGAGGAAATGCCCTGGGAGTTGTGGAGATGCCCTGAGTAAGAGAGAATGGGGGCTCAGGGAGGTTCAGGGCAGCCAAATTTGTAGGGGTTCACTTTGCAGTTGGAAGAGATGAGAGACAAAAAGGTGTTGGATCGAAGGAAGCCAGAGACATGGGGATGAGAGTGTGCTCCTGCTTGATGTCAGAAACCTTAGCAACCATGCGCCGAGTGTGACAGGGTTTCTCACTAGAACTCGCAGTGAGCGCTGAGAACTCGGATGGTGGCAGCAGAGCATGGGCAGGGAAAGGAGCGTCGTCAGCCCAGTCACGAAGTGACGTTCTGAGAAGGCGTGCAGAGTGGCTTGCTTGAGAACAGAGGGAAGGCCCCAGACAGGTGGTGTGTTGGACAGAGGATGGGATCCCTCAGCCAAAGGTACAGAAAGGAGCTCGGAGGTCGGAGGAGCACATGAGAACAGAGGAAGCCCCTTCTCCCGCTTCCCCATGAGAAGTAACTGCAGAGTTGAACTCGGATTTCTTGCACTTCTTTCGTGTGTCAACGACAAAATTCCCAAACAATGTGGAGCTTAATTTTACCTTTTCTTTCACCTTCTTTTTTTTAGAGGTGCTGGGTAGTAAGCCCAGGGCCTTGTACTTCAAATTTCAACTTCAACATTAGTTCTAAACCCATTTCACAGATGAGGAAATGGAGATTTGAAGAGGTTAGGTAATCTGCCTAAGGCCATGTGGTTTGTATGTGGGGAATGAGAAGTCAATCCTGGGTCTAGCACTGTACTCATGCCCATAAGGTTTCTGTCTGAATGTTGGTTAAGCCTCCATGAAGAAAAGAAGCAATTGGTTTCAGGAGAAATTTCAACACCTTGGCTCTGTCTCTCCTCCCCTCTAGGGAGGAGCCATGGTCAACAGGGACACACATCGGTGCCTGGAAATTAGGAGGGAGCCCTCTGGCACCTATGTGCCTGTGCTGCAGACCTGCACTGCGCAGGTGTGGGAAATACAGTACACCCTTGGAAACTTGAGCCAGACCAACGTGCTGTGAGCCTGGGACAGCCTGAGTGTGGGACAACTGGTTTTTGCAGCTGGAATGGCTCCTACCCCGGCACTTCTCAAAGCAGAGAGGGTGCAGGGTGGAAGGTGAGTGTGTGTGTTCACTGTGACATCGGCATGCCATGTAGAGCACGGGAAGCTTAGCACGTGTCAGGTTGTCTGTGCTGCTGCGGAAGGAGCAGAAGCTCTGGTGTCTTTTCCCCACTTCCCTTGGGAAATCGTGATACGCATCAATGCCATTCTTGGAAAGCTCCTGAAATAACCAGCATCATCTGGCAGTTCTGTGGGAGAGAGTAAAGTTTGTCTTTGATTTCCGCCAACTCTGTTTAGCCTTCCCTCCTCACAGCTGCTGAGGTCCCAGACTTCCTTCCTGGCTCACCTGCTTGGAGGCACCCCAGATCATCTGGGGCTGCTCCTCGTGACAGGCAGGGTGCTCCTCATGCCCACAGCAGTACAGCTCCTCCTCCTCCCACTGCCCAGAAAGATGCAGCAAACAGACATTTAGCTCTAACAGATTCCTCCTTCCATGCTCCGCAGCAGTCCTGGTTCAATGGCCAGCTTGGCAAGGAATGGTGCACAGAGAATGGCAGAAAAATCTGGTCCTTTTGATTTCCTCTGAGTAGGCTGTGACAGTTAGTGCTTGATTTCACCTATTTCTCCCTACTACCCATGAAAGTTATGGGGAAAATGAGAGCCATCTCTTACCAAGGCAAAAAAAAAATGGCTTCAGGTGAAAATTATTATCCAGAAAAAAAAAAAGAAAATTAATGTCCAGGATTCTTACAAATGTTCACTTGATAAACCCTCCTCTATCCCCAGTTAGTTGGTTGAAAAGAAATGTCCAGAGCTTTCAATATTTGGTGAGCTTTTGGAGGCTGGCAGAGGGGGCTCCAAGGTGGAGAGAGGGTGGGGGTCCCTTACTCAAAAAGCCGTTTTCTCCTTAGCCCACGTCACAGTGACTGTAGGAGTGATTCTGGGGATCATCCAGTTTTCCTTAGGCATCAGACAGAAAAGACACCAGTGGTTTATCATAGAATTAAATTGATTAAGATGTTTCAAAATGAGCTTTGAAAGTATGTAAGTCATAAGTATACTTTCTGGTAAAAACTTCAGAGTGAATACATGTACCTCAAGAATTAAAGCATGGTCATGATACAGTTTTGTTATGAAAACATTAAGGGGTGGAATAAATGTTAACCAAGTGCATAACTTCTGGAACCTGCCTGGTAATTGAATGGAAAATGTAATTGTTAACAAAGTTTTATAAAGGCATGCACTAAATAAGACAAAATACACATGGCCTTAGATATACGAAAAGATGCTTAAACTTATTCCAGATAAATACCAACTAAAAATATATTGAAATCTCTTTTTTCTTAAATTGATAGTATAATTTCCAGTGTATTTTGTAAGGTGAAAAGAAAAATGGTGCTTGTATTGTGTATGTTTTTGGTAGGAGATAAGGGGAAAATATACACGTGTCTGTTAATTTCTGTAAAAATAAAGCATAAGAAAAATAAACCAGAAACTAAAATTGGCTACAAAGAGTGGCTGTGGTGGTTGGGAATGGGGTGTGAAAGATTGGGGTACAGGGAAAGGCAGATGTTAGGCATGGTGGTGTATGCCTGTAGAATCAGGGAGTCTGAGGCAGGAGTGTGGCCATGAGTGAGGGCAGCCAGGGCTACATAGTGAAGCTGTCTCAAAAAAAGTGAAAAGCAAAAACCAAAACCAAACAAACAAAGAACAAACTAGAAGGGAGGCAAGGGGAGTGGTATTTTTCTATAGTTTTGACATTTAAAATAATACTTCATTGCTCAAAATATAAATACATAAAATCAGAGGTAGAGAGAAATCTAAAATGGATTATAAATAAAACAAATGAACCTAGCTATATTTTTGTTTTAAATGAAAACACACACAAACACACACACAGAGTGTGTGTGTGTACTTAGTATGCAGCTTCCAAATTCTAGATCTTGGTTTCTAAATATATTTCAGTAAAACAAATTAGAGTTTCCTGGAGAAATACCTACTTTCTCTGGCTGGACGTACTCCTAAATTAGAAAGGAAGGAGCTGCTCGCAGGTTGACAGGGACATGTACAAACCACAGAAACTCAGTTGAAAGTCTTCCCTACTGGCCAATGCTGGGACTAGTTGAGCATTAAGATCAATAATGACCACAGTAGATTGTAAACCATATAATCAGATAAGAATCTGTGAGTTCTTTAGGTGACTGAGTGAGGGAAGCTCTTCCTTACAGTAGAGCACCAACTAACCCATGTGGAATTAGAAAACCACCATTTGGCACACACCTTAGTTGAAATGGTTTCTGTGACAATCACCAATGGGTGTGAAGATGAGTGTGTGAGGAGAAACAGGACACACACAGTGCCAAGGTAACCCTCCCAAAGACATTCCTTAACTGCAAAGGGGAAATAGGACTTTCATGGGGGAGAAAGCTGGCAGACACAGCCTTACCTGAGTGACCAACATAAACATCACCGAGTGCTGGACAGATGGCTTCATTTGCTTCCTGATTCAGCATACCAAAAAGTACAAAACCGTTCCAGTGCTCCTGCCCACAACATAGAACTTGGCCTTAGAGTCTTGCAAAACATCAATTAACCCCAAACTAAGGAACATTCTTCAGAAGAAATGGTCCTATGCTTCAAAAGTGTTAAAGTCATAGAAGGCAAAGGAGGCATTGAGGAGCTGTTTCGTATTAAAGGAGACTAAAAGGGCAGGACAGCTAAGTGTAATATGCGGGGCTGGGATGGATCCCAGACCTAGAGGAAGTTGCTTTGGTTAGAAAGAAGAGCAGTGTAAAATTGATGATGTTTCAGTAGGATTTGTTGATTAGAAAATAGTACTGTACCTGTGTTATTTTTCTGATTTTGATTCTTGTACTGTGACTCTGTAAAAGAATAAAATCCTTTATAAAAAATTTATGGTCACTGAGTTGGTTGGGGAATGGGACATTATCTCTGAGGAATAAATGATAGATAGATGATAGATAGAGCCAGGGATGATAAAATAAATGAATCTGGATGAATAGTGAAGAGTATACAAGAATTCTTTGTACTATGCTTACAACTTTTCTTTAAGTCTGAAATGTTTCAAAATAAAAAGACTTAAATCCAAATAAAAACTGCTTCCTAAGCATATGTAAGTTCCTCATGTATAGTTTTTCTTTCTACAGGTACAGTTACCTGAGATCAACAGTGACCCAAAAGCAATAAATGGGTAATTTCAGAAATAAATGATTTTTTTTTTGGTACCAGGGATCGAACTCCTGATTGTGTGCTTGCAAGGCAGGCGCTTGTGCTGCTGAGCTAAATAAATGCTGAGTCCAAAGAAATGATTCTTTTTTTTTCTTTCTTTTTTTTTTAATTTTTATTTAAGGAGAAAAGAAAAGAAAGAAAAAAAAAACAGTGAAGGGGTACAAGTTATACAGATTTACAGAATAAAAAAATGCACAGTAGGAAATCACTAGTTAATGGATTACATATTGCCATCTTAGAGATAATTGTTCAAGTCACAAAATTAAAGCTTGTAGAGTGGACATTCCAACAATGATACTGCAAACAGTTCTGTTCAATGATCCAATAAAACTCTGTGATATCATTTTCTATCTTATACATTTAAATATACATGCAGTTATATATTTTAGAGCACTTTCTTTTCCTCTCTTTTGTACAGTGACTATTACACATTTTGGGTTTCATTGCTCCCACGGTTCTTGTTGCTTTTTTGGAAGAGAGTAAAACCAAATGTGACATAACAGAACAGAATCGGTCAAGTCAAAAGGGTGGACATAATAGATAATATAAAAACATAATACAAGGTGATCAACAATGGTTACCATAATGCCTCCCGCTATTTCTAATAGAATTGCCTATATCATTAGTTGTAATACAATTGAACAAAACCATAAAGAATAAAACCGACAAAACCAAAACATTGGAGATATTGTAGGTCTTCAAAAGTAGATAAAAGTCAACGAGAATGGGCGTTATAATGAATCTCATTATCTTCTCAGCTGATGCCTAAACTTTCGAACCTGATACTATCCAGCAAAACAGAATATAGGAACCTCAGTCAAAAACAAGATGGTGAGAGTAATACAGGGCTTCAAATCGAGATAATAGAAAGTCAAAGTGGGTTACTATATTATATCCTGCTATATTTTTCCCTTTAATTAAATGGATAAAAATAAAAAAGTAAATAATGGAGTGGAGATTGAGAAAAAAGAGGGCATAACAGCGAAACAGGGCAGATCAAAACATAACCATTTAAGCAGAATAGTGTTTCACCACCAGCTAATCCTGACCCAAAAATAGTTACCATATTGACTCCCTCCCTGAAGTCCTTGAGTACAACTTCATATACTGTAGCATTAAGTATATCAAAACAATGTAAATCCATTTAAGAGAATGACAGCATTATAGAGCATTTAGAATCGACTAACAGAAAATGAGCAATGGTCTCTGTATAATCTCCTTGTCTTTAAAAGGTTTTTTCTTATACTATCGTACATAGCAAAATCCAATAAGATACAACCTGTTTAGACCATTGGAGACAGAAGAACAAAAGCTAGATGAGACTTCAAAACAAGATGGTACTAAATCAGCATTACCTATTAAGATGTCATTTTCTCCAAAAAAAGCTGTTCCTATCATCCAATCTTCTCTGTCTCATTTCTGTTGAGCTCTTTTTCTGTCAGTAGCTGTCAGTTTGTCTTCTTCATTTTGTTCTCTGCTCCATTCGTTGTGGCCTCCCCGCCCCTATTTCTGGGTTCTTTGTATTTTTCTTTTTTTAGAATATCCTGCAATACTTTCTGTAGGGTTGAATTGGTGGTTGCAAATTCCCCCAGTTCCTCTTTATCTTGGAAGCACCTCGTTTTTCCATCAATTTCCAGGGACAGTTGTGCAGGATATCTCAATCTTGGCTGGAGATTATTATCTTTCAAAGCTTGAATTATTTCTCCCCATGCTCTTCGTGATTTGATGGTTTGTGAAGAGAAATCTGCTATAATTCTGATGGGTCTTCCCTTGTAAGTGATCTGTTTCTTGTCTCTTACAGCTTTTAATATTCTGTTCTTGTATTGAATTTCTGGAATTTTTATTATTATATGCCTGGGTGTTTCTCTGTTAGGGTTGTAGGTAGCTGGGGTCCTGTATGCCTCATACATTTGAGTATCTTTACCTTTTGCTAAATTAGGAAAATTCTCCTGGATTATTTCTGTGAGTAGCTTTTGTAGTTCACTTGTTTGTGTCCCTACTTCTTCTTTTATGTTCTTAATCCTTAAGTTATGGCTCCTCTTATCATCTTCTTGTCTTTGTATTATTGCTGTGTGTTTCTTTGTTATTTTTAAGAAGTTTTTCATTTCATTCTCCCATGTTTCAAGTCTGCCCTCCAATTCAGATAGTCTGTCCTTAGTTTCTTTCAAGCTGTTATGCCAGTCTTGGGTAGACTTCTTGATTTCTTGATAGTCCCTTTGCACCTGCTTCACATACTCAATGCTTTCTCTGTTTTCTCCATCAAGCAATTCTCCCCTCTTTTTCTGTTCTTCCATTCCACCATCTGCTTTTTCCTGGGTGGTGCTTAGCATTTCTCTAACTATTCTGCATACTTCTAGCTTCAGGTCATTGATAACTTCATTCCTGAATTGGTCTATGAGGCTCTCTAAATGGCGCTTAATGTATATTGGTGCAGTGTCCACTATTGCCTGATTCTCAGGATTGGGGGTCGAGGAGCCTTTTTTGTTGCTTCCCTTCCCCATATTTTCTGTTCCTTATAAAATGTAATCTTACACAGGAGGCCCGGCTTCCCTGCCTGTCAGCCACAGCTTGATCAAATTGCACTGGTTAGTTGTTCCCGCTCACTGCTGCGCCCCAGGGAGTTGCGGAGGAGGCAGCCTACGCGGGAGTCGGTCGCTCCTCCGGGCCACCGTCAGGCTCTGGGATCTGGGTTAGGCCAGCCTAGGGAGTCCACCAGCAGCGTCCCTCCGGCCAGGCACCTTTCACCAATCCCGTCCGAGAGGGAAACGTGCGGCTGCAGTTGCCACCGCGCCCTGCTCTTACAGGACTGCCCGCGCCCAGAAAAACCTCCGCTGGAGTCAAACTGCGGTAGGGAGTCAGTTCCTCGCTCACCTCGCCACCAGTCAGCCTTCCTCCCTGTCCGTCGCGTTTCCGACTCCGTTCGCAGACTCCCGTTCCCAAGCCTCTGCGCGTCTCTCCTTGCCGAGCCCCTATGGAGGTAGCCGGGCGCCTGGCGGCGGGAAATCTAAACCGCGGTTTCCGATGGCGCGGGAACTCCGTTCCCAGACTCCCGTTCCCAGAGCTCGGCGGTCGCGTCTCTCCTTGCCGAGCCGCTGTGGAGGCGCCAGCCGCCGGGCAGCGGGAAATCCAAACTGCGGTTTCCAATGGTGCGGAGTTGAGCCTCCACACCGAGATTTTTCTGTTCCTATTTTAGCGCCAGGACTGTATTCCAAGTTGGATTCTCTCAGCCCAGTTCGTTCCTGAGTCAGCAGAGCATATCTCTACTGGTTCGTATCTCCTTAGTCCGTATCATTCCTGGCCTCTGAGCCGAGCCTTTAGAGAGCGTTCAGTAGTTGCTGTTGTCTGTCCACCATGTTCTCTCTCTCTCCAAAGAAATGATTCTTAAGTTTGAAATAACTTTTACTAGAGTATATTGTTATAATTGTTCTAATCACTATTATTAATCTTATTGGGACTCAAAATTAAACCTTAACACAGGCAAGCATTCATAGGGGAAAATAAACATAGAGTGTTTGTACAGCTCATGGTTTTGGCCTCTCCCAGCAGTTTGGAATGCATTCCTTTCACCTACATTAAATATCTCTTCCTGCTACACTGAAGCTTCAAGGAGTGGCAGTGGAATCTGACTTTGGTGTCCTAAGTGGAAATCTGTAATTCTCCGCTGTGTTTGGTTAGTAGTGCAGGAAGCTCCTTGGCCCCAGGTTTCCCAGAAGCTGTGAGTTTCTTTCTGCAGCTCTGACTAGCCAGGTCTGTGAGCTAGGAGGGGAGTGTTGGTCACCTTCTCTGCTCTCAAATCCCACTATTACTTGTCCGAAGTCCTACATGGATTTCTGCTTCCCTGGTCATGGTCTACTTCCAGCCTTCATTGGTCAGGACTCTTGAAGGTCCTGCATGACTGGCTTTAGTTGGCGAGGAACCTGTTCCCTTGGCAGCCACGTGAAATACTCACTGACTCCACTGTGGGGATTCTGGGAACAGCTTGCACTGGGATTTACCTACAGCAGTTATCAGGACAGATGTTTACTACTTCATGACTTTGAGTATGAAGAGTCACCGAAACCTTCTAGGAAAGTAATTCTGTGCTTGCTTCTGTGCTTTGGAGTTAAGAGTTCTGAGCTGTGGCCCTGCCATTCCCTCCTTCTGGTCCAGAGACTCCTAATTCTCAGTGTGACTTGCAAAAGCCATTGTCCTCCCATCCTACATTAGCTCTGGGTTTCCTGAAAGATGTCCCTGGTGCTCTCAGGGGCCCTTGGGGACAGTCACGCTAGCATCCTTGGAGAACCACACCACTCTTAAAGCTGCTCCCCTCTCGTCAGCTCCACAGCAGAAGCTTTGCTGCCTCTTCCACTCAATCTGTCCCAAACTAAAGTTACAGAGCAGCTCTGTCTAACCCTCCCCACCATTACTTCAGACTGCAGCCACAAGCATGCAACTTGGGTCTGCCCTTTTCTTTACTGCAGCCCATACGGCTCTGGAATTTTGGGTCTTTTCCAGGGAGAACCAGGCTTCAACATGGCGTCATGGCCATCTTATGATCCCTGGTTGTCCTTTTTTCTCCAGGGCCTGAGCATTGTCTATACCAGGCTTAAATACCTCTGCTCCATCGTTGAAGCACACAGCCTCCTCGCCTGAGTGAAATGTAATGGACAAACAGATGGTGACTCTAGCAATTTTAAAGCTAATCGCTTACAGCCTCTTTAGTTTACTACTAATATACTTTCACAATGAAAAATGTGATATTAGCTAATTTCCTGAATTTGGGGAAATTTGTAAAATCCTTTGATAGAGCCTGAAATAAATAGGTGAGTAATGCCACAGTGAGTTAATTATCATCTAGATTTCTGAGCAAAGTCAACTCATAAGTTTTAGTTAGAATTTTAACA